GATAGTGGTATATCAGTATACTAAACCTGATAGTGGTAGATCAGTATAGTACACCTGATAGTGCTACATGATAGTGGTACATCAGTATATTACACCTGATATTGGTACATCAGTGTAATATATCTGATAGTAGTACATCAGTTTACTGCACCAGGTAGTGGTACATCAGTATACTACACATGATAGTGGTACAAGAGTATACTACACCTGATAGTGGTACATCAGTATACTACACCTGATAGTGGTATTTCAGTGTCCTACACCTGATAGTGGTATTTCAGTGTCCTACACCTGATAGTGGTACATCAGTGTACTACACCTGATAGTGGTACAAGAGTATACTACACCTGATAGTGGTACATCAGTATACTACACCTGATAGTGGTACATCAGTGTACTACACCTGATAGCGGTACATCAGTATACTACACCTGATAGCGGTACATCAGTATACTACACCTGATAATGTTACATCAGTATACTACACCTGATAGTGGTACATGAGTTGTACTACACATGATAGTGGTATATCAGTATACTACACCTGATAGTGATACATCATTATACTACACCTGATAGTGGTATTTCAGTGTCCTACACCTGATAGTGGTATTTCAGTGTCCTACACCTGATAGTGGTACATCAGTGTACTACACCTGATAGTGGTATATCAGTATACTACACCTAATAGTGGTATATCAGTGTACTACATCTGATAGTGGTACATCAGTATACTACACCTGATAGTGGTACATCAGTATACTACACCTGATAGTGGTACATCAGTATACTACACCTGATAGTGGTGCATCAGTGTCCTACACCTGATAGTGGTACATCAGTGTACTACACCTGATAGCGGTACATCAGTATACTACACCTGATAGAGGTACCTCAGTATACTAAACCTGATAGTGGTACATCAGGATACTACACCTGATAGTGGTACATCAGTATACTACACCTGATAGTGGTACATCAGTATACTAAACCTGATAGTGGTATATCAGTATACTACACCTGATAGTGCTACATGATAGTGGTACATCAGTATATTACACCTGATAGTGGTACATCAGTATATTACACCTGATTGTGGTACATAAGTATACTACACATGATAGTGGTACATCAGTATACTACACCTGATAGTGGTACATCAGTGTAATACATCTGATAGTAGTACATCAGTTTACTGCACCAGGTAGTGGTACATCAGTATACTACACCTGATAGAGGTACATCAGTATAATACACCTGATAGTGGTAGATCAGTGTACTACACCTGGTAATGGTACATCAGTATACTACACCTGATAGTGGTACATCAGTATACTACACCTAATAGTGGTACATCAGTGTACTACACCTGATAGTGGTTCATCAGTATACTACACCTGATAGTGGTACACCAGTATACTACATCTGATAGTGGTACATCAGTATACTACACCTGATAGTGGTACATCAGGATACTACACCTGATAGTGGTACATCAGTATACTACACCTGATAGTGGTACATCAGTATACTACACCTGATTGTGGTACATCAGTGTACTACACCTGATAGTGGTACATCAGTATACTACAACTGATACTGGTACATCAGTATATCACACCTGATAGTGGTACATCAGTATATCACACCTGATAGTGGTACATCAGTAATTGAATTACGTCACTAACTAGCTGTCGGTAAATACATATATATCTCTTATCCATGTACATCACCAACTTGATCTTATGTAATATATGATTGTTTGTGTTTCGGTTTTTGGGATCAAAAACACATGATGATATGTGAGTGAATTTTCCGAGGTGAAGTTGATGTGCCCTTGACGTTTTCACAATGTCTCCTGAAGTTTGATGTCATGATTAACCATGTGACGTCATATTTAAAAAAAATCTTACAGTAGTCAACTCGCACGACAAACAAATTTCGGATATTACAGTAACGGTAATATGTACTATTGTATTGCTGTTTTGTAAATATCTCTCACTCACCTGGGACTTAGGGTTGTCACCAGCAGTCCTTTGATTACGTCTTAGAGAAAACTGCTGCTGATACCGTCCTGATTAATGTAATGACAAATAGCGGACATAATGATTTAGCCAGGGGAGCAATAATTGATATATTATTTTAACTGGGTAGAACACACTCTTGGCTGACGTTCCCTGTCGGTATGTGCGAATTTCCGACACGAGACGGGGCGATCATTGCTGCCATTATGCCAGAGACATGGGTTTCTGTGGGGAACGCGATGTAATTATCATTCAGTATCGCCATGGCGTCTCCGCGGATTGAGAAGCGGAGTGACTTTGGAGCCGAGTAGATCGCAGTTTTGTTGATAGCTACCTTATCCTCCAACCTGCCTTCGTACCCATTGACACCTACTTTTGTAGACATATCTGTTGGTGAAACAAACACAACTTCATCCGTTATATCAACATATTACCGGGAAAAAAACCGACACATTCTTTATCCGCGCACATTGACGTGCTGAGCCGACATGGATCTATTTTTCCAACATAAAACAGGACGAGTTAACAACAAAAACACTGAAATGGTTAATGTATTTACTTAGTTTTGCATTAGAGAAATTAATCATAGACGCTGAAAAAAAAAGTCTGGACCCCCAGCACTGAGGCAGTGTATACGAAACTAAAGGGTGTGTGTCTGGAGACGGGAGGCAATGACGGGACGTCGCGACTAGGTGTTTCGTGTGCCAGAACATGGATTCTCCATCATATTCAATTTAAAAGTACTGAGAGCTCGAATTTCCTCTTTGTCTCGGATTGTGTGGTCTAACATCAATTAGAAATAAATAAAATCAATTAGAAGACGTAAGAATCAAACACGGATCCATATAATGTAAGACACAGACGTATAGGGAGGATATTCACGGAGAACGGGGATGGGGGGCTCAGGGAGTGGAAATACGGAATGGAGAGCGGTAGTTGTGTCGAAGTGAGGAGAGCTTAGAGAGGAGAAGGGTCGAGTTGAGATAGGGAAGGTTCAGGGAGAGCGGTGGTTGTGTCGAAGTGAGGAGAGCTTAGAGAGGGGAAGGGTCGAGTTGAGATAGGGAAGGTTCAGGGAGAGTGGTAGTTGTGTCGAAGTGAGGAGAGCTTAGAGAGGAGAAGGGTCGAGTGGAGATAGGGAAGGTTCAGGGAGAGTGGTAGTTGTGTCGAAGTGAGGAGAGCTTAGAGAGGGGAAGGGTCGAGTTGAGATAGGGAAGGTTCAGGGAGAGCGGTATTTGTGTCGAAGTGAGGAGAGCTTAAAAAGGGGAAGGGTCGAGTTGAGATAGGGAAGGTTCAGGGAGAGCGGTGGTTGTGTCGAAGTGAGGAGAGCTTAGAGAGGGGAAGGGTCGAGTTGAGATAGGGAAGGTTCAGGGAGAGCGGTGGTTGTGTCGAAGTGAGGAGAGCTTAGAGAGGGGAAGGGTCGAGTTGAGATAGGGAATGTTCAGGGAGAGCGGTGGTTGTGTCGAAGTGAGGAGAGCTTAGAGAGGGGAAGGGTCGAGTTGAGATAGGGAAGGTTCAGGGAGAGCGGTGGTTGTGTCGAAGTGAGGAGAGCTTAGAGAGGGGAAGGGTCGAGTTGAGATAGGGAAGGTTCAGGGAGAGCGGTGGTTGTGTCAAAGTGAGGAGAGCTTAGAGAGGAGAAGGGTCGAGTTGAGATAGGGAAGGTTCAGGGAGAGCGGTGGTTGTGTCAAAGTGAGGAGAGCTTAGAGAGGAGAATGGTCGAGTTGAGATAGGGAAGGTTCAGGGAGAGCGGTGGTTGTGTCGAAGTGAGGAGAGCTTAGAGAGGGAAGGATGGAGTGGAGATAGGGAAAGTTTGGGGAGAGCGGTGGTTGTGTCGAAGTGAGGAGAGCTTAGAGATGGGAAGGGTCGAGTTGAGATAGGGAAGGTTCGGGGAAGGGGGGAGGGGGGGGGAGGGGGGAGGGGGTGAGTGTGTGTGTGTGTTTATGTGTTTGTTTGTGTGTGTGTTCAATACTGGCTTGAGAAACACGCCAAAAATATTATCTGAAGTAAAACCTTTCAATCAAAAAGCTTCTTTAAATGTCACCCACTGCTGGTGGCATCATTGATGTACAATACATACTCATAGTTCACTTACCATTTTACTTTCTTTGTAACATTACAGCTAGTGACTCTTTTTGAAACAATATTTAAAGACGAACGTCAATTTCCGTCAATGACGCGAAACTGTTTATCCTTTACACCCCGCAGCTACATCCAAACGACCGTTATTTATTATTTTTATCAAAAGTATTTTCACAAGAATTTGATGTATCCCGACAGCAATGCATTTTCAGTACATCCGACGCCAGAATGGTGGGCAGGCAGCACGAGAATGCACGTTCTTGGCAAAGTTAGCGTCGAAAACAACACAATCGACACGAAATGGCGTCTTCATTCGTCGGGAATGAGAGGCAGACGGATCTAATCTAAAATAGGACCTTAACCATAGAGATATTGTCTTAAAAGATTATTTATTTAAAAATAAAAAATTTTCTTACTTTTTTGTAACGCACATCTCCATAATCAATTTCATTGATTAAATTTATAAAGTTAATCGATTTATTTTAGGAGTTTAAGGAAGTAAAAAATAAGAAGTGTCAGAAGTGGGATTCGAACCCACGCCTGGAGAACCAGACTGCGACCTGAACGCAGCGCCTTAGACCGCTCGGCCATCCTGACAGATACACAATGGCCAACAACGTTGAAATTTATTTCCTATATTTCATTCACAAGTAAGTGTTTGGTGAATTTAGCATTTCAACAGTTAACCAACAGAGCACTGACAATTTTGACCGGCATGAGTTAACTTATGCACGAAACAAAACAGCCCCCTAGGCAAACGAAATCAAAATTGCAACCCATAAAGACTACTACCTTGCTCTAAATATAGATACTATGTGATTGGCCCAGTGAAGCGATGTCGTAAAAAGGGGAATCCCCCACTTCCCGTTGTGATCACTCATTTCGAAGTTCAACAAATATACATATCTACATCAATGGCTGGGAAGAAGAAACTAAGCCAGGAGTCCTATATACGGTCTCTTCCGTATTCTGCTCTACGCTACATGGCCATGCAACTTGATATAGATAGCAGATGGAAAATTTTGGCCACTTTTATCCCAAAACGATTGTCCAACAGACTATCTAGTGGCGAGTTTCAAGAGAGATATTCCACACTGCAGATAGACATGTTCGAAGTAAGAGGGAGACAACCAGGTGCAAGTCCTACACTTCTCATTCTCAACGATTGGGCCACTCAGAACGCGCAACTAAAACACTTACTCGAGGTAAATGCTCAGAGCTGGAGTATCTTTGAATGGTGTGGGTGGGTTATATTGGTATGTTAAAGTTCTATAACCAGGTTGGTCACACAACTGCATATAGGTATTAGTAATAGCTCTATGTTTTCATTTAATCAATTAGTAATTCAAATACAGGGTCGATTTGAGGCAGAGACACATAAAAATCGTTCAAATGATTAATAGCATGTTTGTCATATATCACCTATCCACATAACCATAGGTGTGTTCATCCTACATTCGTCCTACATGTGTAACCTGTTTACACTGGCGTGTTTGTCCTACATGTGTAACCTGTGAAACCTGTTCACACTGCCGTGTTTTACCAACATGTGTTACCTGTTCACACTGGCGTGTTTGTCCTACATGTGTAACCTGTTCACACTGGTGTGTTTGTCCTACATGTGTAACCTGTTTACACTCACGTGTTTGTCCTACATGTGTAACCTGTTCACACTCTTGTTATGTCCCTCTGAAGATCTTGTGTAACCAGTTTACACTTGCGTGTTTGTCCTACATGTGTAACCTGTTCACACTGGTGTGTTTGACCTACATGTGTAACCTGTTCACACTGGCGTGTTTGTCCTACATGTGTAACCAGTTTACACTTGCGTGTTTGTCCTACATGTGTAACCTCTACAGATCTTGTGAGATATGTTCCTCTACAGATCTTGTGAGATATGTCCCTCTGAAGATCTTGTGAGATATGTCCCTCTGAAGATCTTGTGAGATATGTCCCTGTACAGATCTTGTGAGATATGTCCCTCTGAAGATCTTGTGAGATATGTCCCTGTACAGATCTTGTGAGATATGTCCCTCTGAAGATCTTGTGAGATATGTCCCTCTGAAGATCTTGTGAGATATGTCCCTCTGAAAATCTTGTGAGATATGTCCCTCTGAAGATCTTGTGAGATATGTCCATGTGAAGGTCTTATGAGATATGTCCCTCTACGGATCTTGCTAGATATATCCCTTTGAAGATCTTGTGAGATATGTCCCTATACAGATCTTGTGAGATATGTCCCTCTAAAGATCTTGTGAGATATATCCCTCTGAAGATCTTGTGAGATATGTCCCTCTGAAGATCTTGTGAGATATGTCCCTCTACAGATCTTGTTAGATGTGTCCCTCTAAAGCTTATGAAAAGTCCCCTTTGATCAGCAGCCATTATCAAAGTGTGTTTGAGACTTTGGTTGTCACAAAAATGAATCCTAGTAACTTTTTAGTGATGTACTGATTGTTGAGTTTTGTCGCATTCTTACATACATCATCTGTTGTAATGAAAAGGTATGAAAATTCTTTGGCTTTCCAATATTTTGGCATCATGTTATCTGTGGGTGTAGAGCTGATATATAAACAATTATAGCAACAATCTGTATTTGATGTGATTTGACATTCTAAATTTTCCTGGTGCATACAGTATGTGTTTTGTAAAAAATATAAAAGATAAAGAGTACATATCGTATTACACAATTTTGAAAATCAAGTTTGAAATAAAAAGGATGAACTGTTATTGAGAAGAAATGTCTGTCTACCCTTTGGGTAGAAATATCTTGAAGTCAGGGTGATCCTTCAGGGGAAGGATGACCAGAACTTAAAAACATTCAATACATGAACTGGAAGTGATATTTTGGGATTATGTCATTGATGTCATTTTGGTGACATGCTGGAGACAGTCGGGATCATCAATATTTGTTATTGCGCTTCATATCTGAAAGGTGAATTTACCAGTCATATTATTTGTATTCACAAATTAAATGCTAATGGGGGAAAAGAGGCAGAAAAACAATTAACACTTAAGAATAGGACAAAAATATCTTGTGACAGATTGTGTTATTCTCTGATGGTGCAGAAAAGTTGTATCTAATTATGACCAAATTACTGTTGTAGGTATTTGAGAAAGCCAAACTCACGGCAGTTGCTGATTACTTACTGGATCAAATGGATCAGACAAAACCAGCAAAGGTGACAGATATGTCTAACAGAAACAACACAGATGCTACGCTATCCTCTCTCTCTGCAAACATGTCTGGGATGGAGATCATCAAAAACAACAATGATGATCCCAAAAATGGTTTGTACAAAGAAAAACATATTTCTGATGACTTCATGTCTAACAGTACTGACCAGTTGTCCAGTAGTGGTTCAGAGAGAGAGACATCTTACGAGTTTACAAGCAAGCCTTCTGTTGACCTAGAAGCTGGTAATTACATCTGTAATAATGCCGTCTCTCTCAAAGATAACAAACATGTTTGTGTGCCTGTATGTCGATCCCCATCTCTGAAAAGCACAAAGGATATTCCCAAGCCCTGTTTCTGTACTTCCTCACGAGAAATGAGTTACGCCATGCTCCAAAACTTTACCAAGAACTTTGCAGAGTTAGATGTGGCAAAAGGAGGTAAAATGATTGGTTGCGGTGGATTTGGAGTCGTTTTTATCGCTGAATCACCTCATGGCTGCAAAGCTGCCGTAAAACAGCTGCGTCATCCTGGCGATCCGTTGATGGAAAAACAGTTTCAAACAGAACTGGAAAAGTTGTCTAAATTCCGCCATGAAAATATTGTGTCTTTGCTTGGTTATTCTATTGATGGTTCTAAGAAGTGCTTGGTTTATGATTACATGCCGAACGGGTCTCTTGAGGAACGGCTTTGTTGCTTCAGGAATACAGAACCATTGCCATGGAAACGAAGACTTGAAATTGTCCTTGGAACTGCTTGTGGAGTTGCCTTTTTGAACAGCAATGGTGAAGTGCATCGTGACATTAAGAGTGCGAACGTGCTACTGGATGAAAATTATGTTCCTAAAGTTGGAGACTTTGCAACAGTTAGGACTGGACCGTCAGGAAGTAGCACAACAGCTGTTGAGACAATGCAGGTGATCGGTACCTCCGCCTACATGGCACCTGAGGCCATTAGATTTGATGTGTCTGCCAAGCTGGACTCTTTTGCGTTTGGTGTGGTTTTGTTGGAGGTTTTGACTGGCCTAGCACCCAATGACCCGCGACGAGAGGAAGCTGATCTTTGGAGTTATGTGCAGGAGTCATGTGATGATAACTGCGACATAAAAGACCTACTGGACCAATCAGCAGGGGATTGGAATGAGGACATCGCCATTGCTCTATTTATCATTGCCCAAAAATGTCTCCATGACAAAAAGAAAAAACGAGCTTTAGTGGGAGACATTCTCCCTGATTTGCAGCAGTTTGTTCAGAAATGTTGTCATGATACCTTTGTGTAGGATGAGTTCCTACCTCAAAAAGGAACCAATTGTTTAAAAGGAACAGACCAAATAGTAAAAAATTTGTTCTTTTTCTTGTGATTTGCAAATTGTTTTTAATGAAATTGATGAGGCCTATGTTGACTTGACAAGGCTGGAGAGTCTTGACCAGAAACCTTGTCTTGGTTTGAGAGACTTGACCTGACTAGATAGTCTTGACATGCATGGAGAGTCTTGACCTGGCTGGAGACTCTTGACCAGACTAGAGAGTCTTGACCAGACTGGAGAGTCTTGACCTGGCAGAAGAATCTTTACCTGGCTGGAGAATCTTGACCTGGCTGGAGAGTCTTGATCTGGCTGGAGAGATTTGATATGGCTGGAGAGTCTTAACCTGACTGGTGAGTCTTGACCTGTCTGGAGAGTCTTGACCTGACTGGTGAGTCTTGACCTGACTGGTGAGTCTTGACCTGTCTGGAGAGTCTTGACCTGACTGGAGAGTCTTGACCTAGCTGGAGAGTCTTGACCTTACTGAGAGTCTTGACCTGGCTTGACAGACTTGACCAGACTGGACAGTCTTGACCTGACTAGAGAGTCTTGACCTGACTGGAGAGTCTTGACCTGACTGGAAAGTCTTGACCTTGCTGGTCATTGACCTGGCTAGAGAGTCTTGATCTGGCTGAAGAGTCTTGACATGGCCGAAGATTCTTGACCAGACTGGAGACTCTTGACCTGGCTCGAGAGTCTTGATCTGGCTGGAGAGATTTGACATGGCTGGAGAGTCTTGTCCTGGCTGGAGAGTCCTGACCTGGCTGGAGAATCTTGACCAGCCTAGGGAATCTTGACCTGACTGAAGAGTCTTGACCTGGCTGGGGAGACTTGACTTGGCTGGAGAGTCTTGACCTGACTGGAAAGTCTTGACATGCATGGAGAGTCTTGACCTGGCTGGAGACTCTTGACCAGAGTGGAGAGTCTTAACCTGGCTGGAGAGTCTTGACCTGGCTGGAGAATCTTGACCTGGCTGGAGAGTCTTGATCTGGCTGGAGAGATTTGACATGGCTGGAGAGTCTTAACCTGACTGGTGAGTCTTGACCTGTCTGGAGAGTCTTGACCTGGCTGGACAGACTTGACCAGATTGGACAGTCTTGACCAGACTGGAGAGTCTTGACCTGGCAGAAGAATCTTGACCTGGCTGGAGAGTCTTGACCTGACTGGAGAGTCTTGACCTGGCTGGACAGACTTGACCAGACTGGAGAGTCTTGACCTGAATGGAGAGTCTTGACCTGACTGGAGAGTCTTAACCTGACTGGAAAGTCTTGACCTTGCTGGTCATTGACCTGGCTGGAGAGTCTTGATCTGGCTGAAGAGTCTTGACATGGCCGAAGATTCTTGACCAGACTGGAGACTCTTGACCTGGCTCGTGAGTCTTGATCTGGCTGGAGAGATTTGACATGGCTGGAGAGTCTTGTCCTGGCTGGAGAGTCTTGACCAGCCTAGGGAGTCTTGACCAGCCCAGGAAGTCTTGACCTGGCTGAGGAGACTTGACTTGGCTGGAGAGTCTTGACCTGACTGGAAAGTCTTGACCTTGCTGGTCATTGACCTGGCTGGAGAGTCTTGATCTGGCTAGAGAGTCTTGACATGGCCGAAGATTCTGGACCAGACTGGAGACTCTTGACCTGGCTCGAGAGTCATGATCTGGCTGGAGAGTCTTGACCAGGCCGGAGAGACTTAAGTGTTGGAACTTTATTGTCATAGGGATGGTGTTAGATGTAGGAACTTGAGTGTTATAGGGATGGTGTTGGATGTAGAAAATTTAGTGTTATAGGGATGGTGTTGGATGTAGAAACTTTAGTGTCATAGGGATGGTGTTGAGTGTCGGAACTTGAGTGTCATAGGGATGGTGTTGGATGTAGGAACTTGAGTGTCATAGGGATGGTGAGTGTAATAGGGATGGTGTTAAGTTAAGGAACTTGAGTGTCATAGGGATGGTGTTGGATAGGAACTTGAGTGTCATAGGGATGGTGTTAAGTTAAGGAACTTGAGTGTTATAGGGATGGTGTTAAGTTAAGGAACTTGAGTGTCATAGGGATGGTGTTGGATAGGAACTTGAGTGTCATAGGGATGGTGTTAAGTTAAGGAACTTGAGTGTTATAGGGATGGTGTTAAGTTAAGGAACTTGAGTGTCATAGGGATGGTGTTGGATGTAGGAACTTTAGTGTTATAGGGATGGTGTTGGATGTAGGAACTTTGATCTTGACTTGAGTAATGGCGAGTGTTTATGTCACAAATAAATCTTTCACTAATGGCATTAAACTGGTTGATATCTTCTTATGTAAATACCTTGCTTAAACATTATAAGATGTATCACATTGATTCAAGTTTATATAAAAATTATACTGATATTCTATATATTGCGTTTAGTTTGATTTAGTATCACTTTGTCTTAAAGTCAAAATAAGTATGAGGTCCTATTGGTGAAATTATCACCATGTCCTAGAAGTGAAATAATCACCATGTCCTAGAGGTGAAATAATCACCATGTCCTAGAGGTGAAATAATCACCATGTCCTTAAGGTGAAATTATCACCATGTCCTAGAGGTGAAGTAATCACCATGTCCTAGAGGTGAAATAATCACCATGTCCTAGAGGTGAATAATCACCATGTCCTAGAGGTGAAGTAATCACCATGTCCTTAAGGTGAAATAATCACCATGTCTTTAAGGTGAAATAATTACCATGTCCTAGAGGTGAAATTATCACCGTGTCCTAGAAGTGAAATAATTACCATGTCCTAGAGGTGAAATAATTACCATGTCCTAGAGGTTAAATTATCACCATGTCCTAGAGGTGAAATAATCACCATGTCCTAGAGGTGAAATAATCACCATGTCCTAGAGGTGAAATAATCACCATGTCCTAGAGGTGAAATAATCACCATGTCCTAGAGGTGAAATAATCACCATGTCCTTAAGGTGAAATTATCACCATGTCCTAGAGGTGAAACAATTACCATGTCCTTAAGGTGAAATAATCACCATGTCATAGACATGTCTTAGAGGTGAAATAATCACCATGTCCTAGAGGTGAAATAATCACCATGTCCTAGACATGTCCTAGAGGTGAAATAATCACCATGTCCTAGAGGTGAAATAATCACCATGTCCTAGAGGTGAAATAATTACCATGTCCTAGAGGTGAAATTATTACCATGTCCTAGAGGTGAATAATTTCCATGTCCTAGAGGTGAAATTATCACCATGTCCTTAAGGTGAAATAATTACCATGTCCTAGAGGTGAAATAATCACCATGTCCTAGAGGTGAAATAATCACCATGTCCTAGAGGTGAAATTATCACCATGTCCTAGAGGTGAAATAATCACCATGTCCTTAAGGTGAAATAATCACCATGTCCTTAAGGTGAAATAATCACCATGTCCTAGAGGTGAAATAATCACCATGTCCTAGAGGTGAAATAATCACCATGTCCTTAAGGTGAAATAATCACCATGTCCTTAAGGTGAAATAATTACCATGTCCTAGAGGTGAAATAATCACCATGTCCTAGAGGTGAAATAATCACCATGTCCTAGAGGTGAAATTATCACCATGTCCTAGACATGTCCTATTGGTGAAATTATCACCATGTCCTAGAGGTGAAATAATCACCATGTCCTAGAGGTGAAATAATTACCATGTCCTAGAGGTGAAATAATCACCATGTCCTAGAGGTGAAATAATCACCATGTCCTAGAGGTGAAATAATCACCATGTCCTAAAGGTGAAATAATCACCATGTCCTAGAGGTGAAATAATCACCATGTCCTAAAGGTGAAATAATCACCATGTCCTAAAGGTGAAATAATCACCATGTCCTAGAGGTGAAATAATTACCATGTCCTAGAGGTGAAATAATCACCATGTCCTAGAGGTGAAATAATCACCATGTCCTAGAGGTGAAATTATCACCATGTCCTAGAGGTGAAATAATCACCATGTCCTAGAGGTGAAATTATCACCATGTCCTAGAGGTGAAATTATCACCATGTCCTAGAGGTGAAATAATCACCATGTCCTAGAGGTGAAATTATCACCATGTCCTAGAGGTGAAATAATCACCATGTCCTAGAGGTGAAATAATCACCATGTCCTAGAGGTGAAATTATCACCATGTCCTAGAGGTGAAATTATCACCATGTCCTAGAGGTAAAATTATCACCATGTCCTAGAGGTGAAATTATCACCATGTCCTAGAGGTGAAATTATCACCATGTCCTAGAGGTGAAATTATCACCATGTCCTAGAGGTGAAATTATCACCATGTCCTAGAGGTGAAATTATCACCATGTCCTAGAGGTGAAATAATCACCATGTCCTTAAGGTGAAATTATCACCATGTCCTAGAGGTGAAATTATCACCATATCTTATTAGTGAAATTATAATCTCCATCGTATCATTTTGAGATTTTGTGCACTGGAAGTGAGAAGGTCTTAGAAATATGAGACAATTTGGATGCTGCCCCTCAGGACCCTCCGAGGCTCCAGGGATCAGAATTTTATCATGATACTGTCAGTTTTTTTTCCCCCAATTGTAAACTGTAAATGTTTGTTTTAGGAACTGATTAAAACAAAATATATGACAAGGGACCATCTTCAATTTCTCTTGGTCCTTAGATTTAGTTCTATATATAGGCTGCTGTTGTTTATTGGTGTTACTGTATGATAACTTACAACATGGACAACAAACAAGGGCACAGATCCTACTTATCAATACTTAGCACATATGTGATTAGGGGAAAAAGAAAACACCAAGAAATGTATGTTAAAACTGTCCCCAATTTTATTTCAACAACAAAAACAACATAAATGATGCTTGATACATTTACAGTATGACTTAACATCATTCACACAGTAGACAGAACACGGCTACATTTTTACAATTAAGTAGAAAGACTACAAACCTTCACCTCACTTAAAACACTTTCACACATTTATCTAGATAAAATGATTTCTAGAGTTCGGATTTTTTATTTTTTGAGTGAAACCCTTCAAATATCCTAAGAGATTTGACCTCTGTGACCTTGAGTCAATACCTGTATATCATATCTTGTTAAGCTGATAGCTCCATAATGGAGACAAATAGCCTGACTAAACAGTAATTACCAAGTCTTTTAAAAGTTCTATTCAAAATCAACCTTGAATACAGGAGACTTACTTTGGCCAATTTTCAGCACTTAAGCAAGCTATTTGCCACAACAGTGACACTGCTAGATTGTCACACATTAGTCTCCTTGTTTGGCAAAAAATAGACACATGTACATGAAGTTTCCTCTAAATTATCAAAGACTGAAAATTCATAAAATTGATTGAGGAATAATGATCTCCTCTTCTATATGTTAATCTTTAGTCTCGTGACCCCAGGGTCTCACATTTCCCCCGGGGGAGGGGGTAAAGTTTACCTCAGTTTATTTAGGGGAATTACATTTTTGAACATTATCTGTTTATGTTCTATTGGAAATAGTTCAAACCTTTTTGGAATTATCAGTTTAAATTGACAGTTTAATGAGATACACAGTGACCTTGACTGACCTCTAGGGGTTAATGGGCGGGGCCAAAAATGTGTCAAACTGATTGGAATTAAAAAGATGTTCTACTGTTCCCAGATGGCAGATTTTATATAGGAAAATTCAAATCTTGTGTGTAATTTCTTTTCATTTAAACTTGGTTAGAAGCATTATGTATACAATATAGTTAAAGTTATCTTATTAAATTTTTAGTTTGAGAAACACAAACACTCCTCAGTTTCTGGTTTGAGAGACACAAACACTTGTCAGTTTCTGGTTTGAGAAACACAAACACTCCTCAGTTTCTGGTTTGAGAAACACAAACACTCGTCAGTTTCTGGTTTGAGAGACACAAACACTCGTCAGTTTCTGGTTTGAGAGACACAAACACTCGTCAGTTTCTGGTTTGAGAGACACAAACACTCGTCAGTTTCTGGTTTGAGAGACACAAACACTCGTCAGTTTCTGGTTTGAGAAACACAAATACTCTTCTGTCTCTAGTCTGAGTAACAATCACACTCACATTTAGCTGAAGGACAGTTATGTTACCAGAATAAACTTTCTATAAATCTGGGAACATTTTTTTCTTCTCTCTCTACATAGTGTGTATGTATAGTTAAAGGGAGATAACTGCTATAATAAGCAATTATGTACAATAAAGAATGAGAATGCTCGATGATACCTGGGTACAAAGTAACACTGTCTGAGAGGTGGATACAGCACAAAAACGTTAAATATTTGAAATAACTTTTTCTTGCAGCCCAAAAACATGGTGGACTGCTATTGGTCTTTGGTTAATGCAAGTCACACATGGAAAGAAATTGATCTATATAACCTACATCATCTTTCATCATGATTTAGAGAACTTGTCAAAATGGAAACGATTTAGTAAAATAAATCTGGACAATTTTCAAAATTGTTTATCTGCTATTCGAACATATCAACAAACTAGTGCACTCACAACAAGTGTAGTAACTGGGAAACCAGAATTTCCTGTGTACTAAAAAAATGGCTGCATAAACACATGAATACCCTTCCATACATACATTATATATCTAAGCATCAATGATTAATAGAATAGTAACCATGACCTTGACCTTGGAACCCTGAAACAAGAACTTATCTGAGGTATTGCCATCTGACCTTGACATAAACATGAATGAAATCTCAACCCCCCTCTAAAATAGTGTGAATATGATTAACCCATATTTGGAAATATACTCATTTTCTCTAAGGATCAAGTGTGACCTTGACCTTGATATCTTAGCTGGTGTAGAGCTTGATGTTTTGATATAGTGGAGCAAATAGGAATTAAATGTGTTGAGAAGTGGTGAGATATCTTACCTACCAACATAACTTTGCATCTACAGATGGTAATAGGTAGTGATTACTGTATGCTCCTCCCACCTTCCCTCCCCCCCATCCCTCACACCATCCCTCACACATCCCCCACTCACTCCTCAGCACCCCCACTCCTCCCATCTTCCCTCCCCCATCCCTCACACCTCCCCCCATCCCTCCCTCACACCTCCCCCCCAACTCCTCACACCTCCCCCACCCATCCCTCACACCTCCCCCACCCCTCACACCTTCCCCCTCACACCTCCCCCACCCATCCCTCACACCTCCCCCCACTCACTCCTCAGCCCCCCCCCCACCTTCCCTCCCCCCATCCCTCACACCTCCCCCCACTCACTCCTCTGCCCCCCACTCCTCCCACCTTCCCCCTATCCCTCATTCCTACCCCTCACATCTCCCTCCCCTCTCCTCTAGGACATTGATAAGCAAACCATAATTCACTCAATGCTCATTTACAAATCTAAGGATTAACAAGGTCAACATGAAAATAGAGAAATTTGATGATCTATGTATTATATTTGGATACTGAAGACATGGAATTTGAAGTCCTGATTCTCAACATGGTATGTATATAGTACAGCATTTACCCTTCAAACACACACAAAATTAATATAGACTGCGAGGAACATCAGGAAACGTCAATCTTCTGTCGGGAACCTCGTCTTGTTCGTGTGGTTTTTAAAATATTGTAGTTGGCATATGTACAGTATTTACTAGAGATGAAAGGGATGTAGAAAGCGCGAAAAAAACGATGTGATCTGAAACAGATAATATTGATTAAATCAAATATAATAAACCTATTTTACTTATAAAGGAAAACAAACGGAGCTGAAATTTCAGAAATTTGATACAATAATAGATATCAACAAACGTAAACATAATAATGATAAGATATATTAAAATTTATGTAAAATTTGAACTTTGACTTCGAGCATACATCAATTAATTAACTTCAAATAATGAATCTGAAAACAACACAGTAAATCAAACAAATTGGAAATATTTGTGTTTCAATAAATCATTTTCAATTTCAATTTGATTTTCATCACGTGTTGTGATTTTGTATTGAATTCTACTGAAAATGTAAAACAACCCTGAAAATATCACATAACTTATCATATCACAAACCTGTCCATATAATTTAAACCTGGCCTCCATCAGGCTCTGAGGACCACAACAGATACTACATACTTAATGAAATGTCCACCAATACTGTATCATAACCCTGTAGAAATGCCCATCAATGCTGTATGATAACCCTGTAGAAATACCCATCAATGCTGTATCATAACCCTGTAGAAATACCCATCAATGCTGCATGATAACCCTGTAGAAATACCCATCCATACTGTATGATAACCCTGTAGAAATACCCATCATAACCATGTAGAAATATCCATCCATACCGTATGATAACCCTGTAGAAATACCCATCAATGCTGTATCATAACCATGTAGAAATACCCATCCATACTGTATGATAACCCTGTAGAAAACCCATCAATACTGTATGATAACCCTGTAGAAATGCCCATCAATGCTGTATGATAACCCTGTAGAAATGCCCATCAATGCTGTATGATAACCCTGTAGACATACCCATCCATACTGTATGATAACCCTGTAGAAATGCCCATCAATGCTGTATGATAACCCTATAGAAATGCCCATCAATGCTGTATGATAACCCTGTAGAAATACCCATCAATGCTGTATGATAACCCTGTAGAAATACCCATCAATGATGTATGATAACCCTGTAGAATACCCATCATCCTGTAGAAATGATAACCCTGTAGAAATGCCCATCAATGCTGTATGATAGCCCTTTAGAAATACCCATCAATGCTATATCATAACCCTGTAGAAATATCCATCAATGCTGTATGATAACCCTGTAGAAAACCCATCAATACTGTATGATAACCCTGTAGAAATGCCCATCAATGCTGTATGATAACCCTGTAGAAATGCCCATCAATGCTGTATGATAACCCTGTAGACATACCCATCCATACTGTATGATAACCCTGTAGAAATGCCCATCAATGCTGTATGATAACCCTGTAGAAATGCCCATCAATGCTGTATGATAACCCTGTAGAAATACCCATCAATGCTGTATGATAACCCTGTAGAAATACCCATCAATGATGTATGATAACCCTGTAGAAATACCCATCATCCTGTAGAAATGCCCATCAATGCTGTATGATAACCCTGTAGAAATGCCCATCAATGCTGTATGATAGCCCTTTAGAAATACCCATCAATGCTATATCATAACCCTGTAGAAATATCCATCAATGCTGTATGATAACCCTGTAGAAATGCCCATCAATGCTGTATCATAACCCTGTAGAAATGCCCATCAATGCTGTATGATAACCCTGTAGAAATACCCATCAATGCTGTATGATAACCCTGTAGAAATACCCATCCATACTGTATGATAACCCTGTAGAAATACCCATCCATACTGTATGATAACCCTGTAGAAATGCCCATCAATGCTGTATGATAACCCTGTAGAAATGCCCATCAATGCTGTATGATAACCCTGTAGAAATACCCATCAATGCTGTATGATAACCCTGTAGAAATACCCATCAATGCTGTATGATAACCCTGTAGAAATACCCATCATCCTGTAGAAATGCCCTGTAGAAATGCCCATCAATGCTGTATGATAACCCTGTAGAAATGCCCATCAATGCTGTATGATAACCCTGTAGAAATACCCATCAATGCTGTATGATAACCCTATAGAAATGCCCATCAATGCTGTATGATAACCCTGTAGAAATGCCCATCAATGCTGTATGATAACCCTGTAGAAATACCCATCAATGCTATATCATAACCCTGTAGAAATATCCATCAATGCTGTATGATAACCCTGTAGAAATACCCATCATCCTGTATAAATGCCCTGTTATAAACCCACCTCTCTGCACTGACACATAGTGTCTACATTCCTATGATGGATGGTCTCTTTTACTCACATATCTGGATTTCTCTTCTTTATTCATGTCATTCATATGACTAGGGATGACACTGGTAGCATCAGAACCGGACTGGAAAGGCTGGGGCAATTGACCTTTAAAATCAGACTCTACAAACTTCAGACTCCAGCTGTAAATAGAGGCAGAGAGATACAACCTAGAAATTGCTGGCTTACAATTCAACAGGCTTTTCAACCATACACAACATCTTACTTACAGCTCAATCATTTCCATAAACATGATAGCTTAACTTTCTAGCAAGTTATATACAATATATGTAGACTCTAGACTGTTCAACTTCAGATTATCTATTTGTGTTACTCCGAAAAAAACCTTTCTAAAAGATGTACTTGACAAAATTGTCTCACTACTAGCAATAATAATTAAACCCAATATGCTATGGTCAAACATTATCATCCTGTGCCTCTTTGACATTGAAAAGAAGCCATTTAAAGATTTTAACAAAATTGACCCCTCTAACCTTGTAAGCGGGTCAAGATAATTCATATTATCAATGAAAGCTAACGACTGGAACATCTTACATGTGAAATATCAAGGCTCTAGATCTTATGGAACTTAAGAAGAAGTTTTCAGTTTGTAACCCAAAACAGCAATATCAATTGATCACTGTATGTCACTTACAAAATCTGATCACCTTGTACCTCATGGTTATAGATAAAATACTTTTGAAGAATTTGACATATGTGAACCCTGTGACCTTGACCTTGGGTAAATATCATTTATATTATCAAACTTGATACCCAATGCCAAGAGTTTCATAAATATGAAATATCAAGGCTTTAGACCTAGTGGAGCTTCAGTAGAAGGTTTTCAAAATTGGTTTCCCAAACTAGCAATTTTGAACTTTGACCCTATCGAGAACCAGAATTTCAATTTTCAGATGGGGTATTATTAATACATTCAATATCAATTGATTATACAGTATGCTACTGATGAATGTCATCATCGTGTGCCTCTGGGTCGTTGTGAAAATACTATTGAAAGATTCTGATTTAACTGAATCCTGTAATTATAAGAAACAAGACAATAAAAAAAGTCTTTAAACCAGATGGTGAAAATCCCAAGTAAGAAGAGGCTGCTAGGCAAGTGATACCACTCCGTAACCACACAAACTTACTTTTCTCAAGGAAGGAAGAAGCTGCTAGGAAAGTGATACCACTCCGTAACCACACAAACTTACTTTTCTCCAGGAAGGAAGAAGCTGCTAGGCAAGTGATACCACTCCGTAACCACACAAACTTACTTTTCTCCAGGAAGGAAGAAGCTGCTAGGCAAGTGATACCACTCCGTAACCACACAAACTTACTTTTCTCAAGGAAGGAAGAAGCTGCTAGGCAAGTGATACCACTCCGTAACCACACAAATTTACTTTTCTCCAGGAAGGAAGAAGCTGCTAGGCAAGTGATACCACTCCGTAACCACACAAACTTACTTTTCTCAAGGAAGGAAGAAGCTGCTAGGCAAGTGATACCACTCCGTAACCACACAAACTTACTTTTCTCCAGGAAGGAAGAAGCTGCTAGGCAAGTGATACCACTCCGTAACCACACAAACTTACTTTTCTCCAGGAAGGAAGAAGCTGCTTGGAAAGCGATACCACTCCTTGCCCACACAAATATTGACAGATTTATCGGTAGATAAGGTGTGGATCTTAGGATCACCAGCGATCTTGTTAAGTCCAACATACAGGTCCAGTGGGGCATGGTAACCTACAAAGTCGAAATCAGACAAAACATCAATCAATATCTAAATTAGGGACTAACAGGAACTCACACACAAAGTTTCAGATATATCCTTCTACCAGTTCTCAAGCAATTAGTAGAAACAGACAAAACAACAAACTGTCAATCACACACAAAGTTTCAGATATATCCTTCTACCAGTTCTCAAGAGTTAGGACCAACAAACTGTCAATCTTGTCTATCTCACAAGGAGGTAAACTGTCAATCTTGTCTGTCTCACAAGGAGGTAAACTGTCAATCTTGTCTATCTCACAAGGAGGTAAACTGTCAATCTTGTCTGTCTCACAAGGAGGTAAACTGTCAATCTTGTCTATCTCACAAGGAGGTAAACTGTCAATCTTGTCTGTCTCACAAGGAGGTAAACTGTCAATCTTGTCTATCTCACAAGGAGGTAAACTGTCAATCTTGTCTGTCTCACAAGGAGGTAAACTGTCAATCTTGTCTGTCTCACAAGGAGGTAAACTGTCAATCTTGTCTATCTCACAAGGAGGTAAACTGTCAATCTTGTCTGTCTCACAAGGAGGAAAACTGTCAATCTTGTCTGTCTCACAAGGAGGAAAACTGTCAATCTTGTCTGTCTCACAAGGAGAAAGGTGATCTGAAAAGCACACCATCTGATGATAAGAAAAGCAGAAGAGCAGATGAACTTTTGTCTTCCAGTCCTTCTGAGCAGTCTTGAATAACTGATTACATTGCATTTAAATTCTATAAGAGATCATATAATACTGACTCAGGTAATGTACACCAAGAGTTTTTATGCAAACAGTACATCAAAATATCTCAAAATTTTTATTCATAATTTTCACTTATGTATGAATTCACACAAATGAAACATCAGTGTGTGTTTAGGTCTAGAGACTTTCAGAAGCAGGACCATTTAGTCAGAAGCTTGTCCCTGTATCAGAACTTTCTCTATTCGTAAACAACTACATGTCTGTGGTTTGTGTAACACACCGTGGATTGAAGTGACTGTATTGTGGGTCTACCTACCTTGGTAAATAGCTAATATCCTCGATAGGGACACAAGAGAGAAGGTGATAGCTGTCACCTGAGATATCCAGTTAGTATGTTCTGTGTAATGTCTAGAGGACTGGCTTGTAAATAAGTAACACCAAAGTTTCTGTAACAAAAAAACTTGAGAATTTTAAACTTTTAGAAAAGGTTCTGATAACAAACAAGAGGCCAAAGGGGCCCGCATCACTCAACTGGCTAAATGAACTATTTAGATATTTACTACAGAATTTCAAATATGACAATTTCTGATATACATTCCCTATTGGGTCCCATCCTTGTGGTCAAACAGAGGTCATAAAAAATGCTTCAGACAATAATGGACACTATACTTGTATGGAAAAAGGACTTTCAGACTTAAATTTTTCCAATTGGGCCCATCCCTCTCGCCCTAGGGGACTAGGATGTACTGTTTCTATAGAACTTAGTCTCCTTCACAAAAGAATGCTTTAGACCAAATCTGACCAATATCCATTTCTTCTCATAGGAGGGGTAAGGTTTTAAAAGCACGTGGAAAATTTCCCCTTTTGGGCCCTGCCCCTAAGGCCCCTGGGAACTGAGAACCAATCATGACACAAACTTTGTTCCTCTTCACTCAAGGATATTTCTGACCATTTGGGCAATATCTAACCATTCCTAATGGAGAAGCAGGATTTTAAGGAACTAACTCTAATTCCTCAATTGGGCCTCATTCCACTCCTCCCATCCCACTGTTCATACACAACTGATTCCCTTTCACCCAAGAATACTTCAAAGTAAGTTTTGGAAAATATCCTTTTTTTCCTACTGGAGGAGTAAGATTTTCAAGAATTTGGTCTTTTTCCCCTATTGGACCCCGTCCCTCTGGCCTCAGGGGGCTATGACCCATTGTTTATACAAATTGATTTCCCTTCACCCAACAATGCTTCAGACTAAATTTGGGCAAAATCCAACCATTCCTACAGGAGGAGTAGGATTTTCAGTCAAGCATAATAAAAATATTAAAACATCACTTTTAATTCATTATTGTATATTGTTGTCAGTTTTCACTGTGTAAAGGGTAGTATACGTAATTCTAATAAATATGTGTGTTTAACGTGAACAAAGGGTGTTACAGAGGCTAATACAGATACATGATTCTGCTGAGCATGTTTACTGTAAAATTGTTATATCACCTGTATGTAGTCGATGCTTAGAGATCCACACAGAATAAAGAAAGGGTAGATTGGAAACAGAAATCGCTCCTCCTGAAAAAAGGAAAAAATAGATATATATAAAAAATTGACACATAGGATAAGATATAATAGTTCATAGTTCTTCCTGTAGTTCTGATAAAGATAATCATTAATTTGACTTTAACTTTGATCTAGAAACGCAGACTTATTGTATGACACACCTACATCTTTAACTGATTGTATGACACAGCCTACATCTTTAACTGATTGTATGTCAAAGCCTACATCTTTAACTGATTGTATGTCACAGTCTACATCTTTAACTGATTGTATGACACAGCCTACATCTTTAACTGATTGTATGACACAGCCTACATCTTTAACTGATTGTATGACACAGCCTACATCTTTAACTGATTGTATGACACAGCCTACATCTTTAACTGTCACAGCCTACATCTTTAACTGATTGTATGACACAGTCTACATCTTTAACTGATTGTATGTCACAGCCTACATCTTTAACTGATTGTATGACACAGCCTACATCTTTAACTGATTGTATGTCACAGTCTACATCTTTAACTGATTGTATGTCACAGCCTACATCTTTAACTGATTGTATGTCACAGCCTACATCTTTAACTGATTGTATGTCACAGCCTACATCTTTAACTGATTGTATGTCACAGCCTACATCTTTAACTGATTGTATGTCACAGCCTACATCTTTAACTGATTGTATGTCACAGCCTACATCTTTAACTGATTGTATGTCACAGCCTACATCTTTAACTGACACACACTGCCTACATCTTTAACTGATGTGTATGTATGCCTACATCTTTAACTGATTGTATGACACAGCCTACATCTTTAACTGATTGTATGTCACAGCCTACATCTTTAACTGAGTGTATGTCACAGCCTACATCTTTAACTGAGTGTATGTCACAGCCTACATCTTTAACTGATTGTATGTCACAGCCTACATCTTTAACTGAGTGTATGTCACAGCCTACATCTTTAACTGATTGTATGTCACAGCCTACATCTTTAACTGATTGTATGTCACAGCCTACATCTTTAACTGATTGTATGTCACAGCCTACATCTTTAACTGTCACAACCTACATCTTTAACTGATTGTATGTCACAGCCTACATCTTTAACTGATTGTCACAGTCTACATCTTTAACTGATTGTATGTCACAGCCTACATCTTTAACTGTCACAACCTACATCTTTAACTGATTGTATGTCACACCTACATCTTTAACTGATTGTATGTCACAGCCTACATCTTTAACTGATTGTATGTCACAGCCTACATCTTTAACTGATTTTATGTCACAGCTTACATCTTTAACTGATTGTATGTCACAGCCTACATCTTTAACTGATTGTATGTCACAGCCTACATCTTTAACTGATTGTATGTCACAGCCTACATCTTTAACTGATTGTATGTCACAGCCTACATCTTTAACTGATTGTATGACACAGTCTACATCTTTAACTGATTGTATGTCACAGCCTACATCTTTAACTGATTGTATGACACACCTACATCTTTAACTGATTGTATGTCACACCTACATCTTTAACTGATTGTATGTCACAGCCTACATCTTTAACTGATTGTATGTCACACCTACATCTTTAACTGATTGTATGTCACAGCCTACATCTTTAACTGATTGTATGACACAGCCTACATCTTTAACTGATTGTATGTCACAGCCTACATCTTTAACTGTCACAGCCTACATCTTTAACTGATTGTATGTCACAGTCTACATCTTTAACTGATTGTATGTCACAGCCTACATCTTTAACTGATTGTATGTCACAGCCTACATCTTTAACTGATTGTATGTCACAGCCTACATCTTTAACTGATTGTATGACACAGCCTACATCTTTAACTGATTGTATGACACAGCCTACATCTTTAACTGATTGTATGACACAGCCTACATCTTTAACTGATTGTATGTCACAGCCTACATCTTTAACTGATTGTATGTCACAGCCTACATCTTTAACTGAGTGTATGTCACACCTACATCTTTAACTGATTGTATGTCACAACCTACATCTTTAACTGATTGTATGACACAGCCTACATCTTTAACTGATTGTATGTCACAGCCTACATCTTTAACTGATTGTATGACACAGCCTACATCTTTAACTGATTGTATGTCACAGCCTACATCTTTAACTGATTGTATGTCACAGCCTACATCTTTAACTGATTGTATGTCACAGCCTACATCTTTAACTGATTGTATGACACAGCTTACACCTTTAACTGATTGTATGTCAAAGCCTACATCTTTAACTGATTGTATGACACAGCTTACACCTTTAACTGATTGTATGTCACAGCCTACATCTTTAACTGATTGTATGTCACACCTACATCTTTAACTGATTGTATGTCACAGCCTACATCTTTAACTGATTGTATGTCACAGCCTACATCTTTAACTGATTGTATGACACAGCCTACATCTTTAACTGATTGTATGTCACAGCCTACATACATCATTAAATGATTGAATGACACAACCTACATCTTTAACTGATTGTATATCTTTAACTGATTGTATGTCACACCTACATCTTTAACTGATTGTATGTCACAGCTTACATCTTTAACTGAGTGTATGTCACAGCCTACATCTTTAACTGATTGTATGACACAGCCTACATCTTTAACTGATTGTATGTCACAGCCTACATCTTTAACTGATTGTATGTCAAAGCCTACATCTTTAACTGTCACAGCCTACATCTTTAACTGATTGTATGTCACAGCCTACATCTTTAACTGATTGTATGACACAGCCTACATCTTTAACTGATTGTATGACACAGCCTACATCTTTAACTGATTGTATGTCACAGCCTACATCTTTAACTGATTGTATGTCACAGCCTACATCTTTAACTGATTGTATGTCACAGCCTACATCTTTAACTGATTGTATGTCACTGATTGTATGTCACAGCCTACATCTTTAACTGATTGTATGACACAGCCTACATCTTTAACTGATTGTATGTCACAGCCTACATCTTTAACTGATTGTATGTCACAGTCTACATCTTTAACTGATTGTATGTCACATCCTACATCTTTAACTGATTGTATGTCACAGCCTACATCTTTAACTGATTGTATGTCACAGCCTACATCTTTAACTGATTGTATGTCACAACCTACATCTTTAACTGATTGTATGACACAGCCTACATCTTTAACTGTCACAGCCTACATCTTTAACTGATTGTATGACACAGCCTACATCTTTAACTGATTGTATGTCACAGCCTACATCTTTAACTGATTGTATGACACAGCCTACATCTTTAACTGATTGTATGTCACAACCTACATCTTTAACTGATTGTATGACACAGCCTACATCTTTAACTGATTGTATGACACAGCCTACATCTTTAACTGATTGTATGACACAGCCTACATCTTTAACTGATTGTATGACACAGCCTACATCTTTAACTGATTGTATGACACAGCCTACATCTTTAACTGATTGTATGTCACAGCCTACATCTTTAACTGATTGTATGTCACAGCCTACATCTTTAACTGAATTGTATGACATGCAGCCTACATTATTTTTCATCACATATTAACAGGAATACCTTGTGAACAGAAGTAAAACTGACATCACATGTTAACAGGAATGTCTGAAACAGAGGTAAAACTGACATCACATGTTAACAGGAATGTCTCAAACAGAGGTAAAACTGACATCACATGTTAACAGGAATGTCTGAAACAGAGGTAAAACTGACATCACATGTTAACAGGAATGTCTGAAACAGAGGTAAAACTGACATCACATGTTAACAGGAATGTCTGTAAAACTGACATCACATGTTAACAGGAATGTCTGAAACAGAGGTAAAACTGACATCACATGTTAACAGGAATGTCTGAAACAGAGGTAAAACTGACATCACATGTTAACAGGAATGTCTGAAACAGAGGTAAAACTGACATCACATGTTAACAGGAATGTCTGAAACAGAGGTAAAACTGACATCACATGTTAACAGGAATGTCTGAAACAGAGTTAAAACTGACATCACATGTTAACAGGAATGTCTGAAACAGAGGTAAAACTGACATCACATGTTAACAGGAATGTCTGAAACAGAGGTAAAACTGACATCACATGTTAACAGGAATGTCTGAAACAGAGGTAAAACTGACATCACATGTTAACAGGAATGTCTGTAAAACTGACATCACATGTTAACAGGAATGTCTGAAACAGAGGTAAAACTGACATCACATGTTAACAGGAATGTCTGTAAAACTGACATCACATGAAACAGAGGTAAAACTGACATCACATGTTAACAGGAATGTCTGAAACAGAGGTAAAACTGACATCACATGTTAACAGGAATGTCTGAAACAGAGGTAAAACTGACATCACATGTTAACAGGAATGTCTGAAACAGAGGTAAAACTGACATCACATGTTAACAGGAATGTCTGACACAGAGGTAAAACTGACATCACATGTTAACAGGAATGTCTGAAACAGAGGTAAAACTGACATCACATGTTAACAGGAATGTCTGAAACAGAGGTAAAACTGACATCACATGTTAACAGGAATGTCTGAAACAGAGGTAAAACTGACATCACATGTTAACAGGAATGTCTCAAACAGAGGTAAAACTGACATCACATGTTAACAGGAATGTCTCAAACAGAGGTAAAACTGACATCACATGTTAACAGGAATGTCTGACATCACATGTTAACAGAGGTAAAACTGACATCACATGTTAACAGGAATGTCTGAAACAGAGGTAAAACTGACATCACATGTTAACAGGAATGTCTGAAACAGAGGTAAAACTGACATCACATGTTAACAGGAATGTCTGCAACAGAGGTAAAACTGACATCACATGTTAACAGGAATGTCTGAAACAGAGGTAAAACTGACATCACATGTTAACAGGAATGTCTGAAACAGAGGTAAAACTGACATCACATGTTAACAGGAATGTCTGAAACAGAGGTAAAACTGACATCACATGTTAACAGGAATGTCTGAAACAGAGGTAAAACTGACATCACATGTTAACAGGAATGTCTGAAACAGAGGTAAAACTGACATCACATGTTAACAGGAATGTCTGAAACAGAGGTAAAACTGACATCACATGTTAACAGGAATGTCTGAAACAGAGGTAAAACTGACATCACATGTTAACAGGAATGTCTGAAACAGAGGTAAAACTGACATCACATGTTAACAGGAATGTCTGAAACACATGTTAACAGGAAATGAATAAATGCACAAGAGTATCAGTAAAACTGATATGAACTCTCATTTTACTGGACACAAAATTTTAACAAAGAACAAATTAGCAATTATATGCATCAACAATTTGTGGAGAGTATAACTACACAAAATTTGTGTAAAACCTTCCAACTTAATGGGTTCACACCTATCACAAGTCTTGGATAAGGGAAACGACATTTCCTAAGAGGGTCACACTAACCAGATATCTTGGATGAGGAACAGGATACTTCCTTATAAACAAGATACTTTGCTATATCACCCAAAGAATTACCATATCCCTCACTGTCAGGTAGACATGGTATAGGACACATAATTAACTAGAATTCTTGAAATATGAGGCCCAGGGGCCTAAACGGTCACCCAAGTGAACTCACAACCTTAAGCAATTGGAATGAATGTGTGAAGAGAAGAGAAAATGAGAAATGTTACTCGTACAGGGACAGAAATTTTACTTTCAGACCCTTCTATCCATGAAGAGTACTTGAATCTATAGTATCTGGGTATTGAGAAGAGTTTTGAAATTTCAGCAAATCTGATCCTTTTTGGCCACACCAATCAGCCCCTAAGGGTCGGCAAGTGAAAAGCACCTTAAGACCCTTTCATCGATGAAGAATAATTTATTTTACCATATTTGGGTATTGGGAATAAGACATTGGAAATTTTACTCGATATAACTGTTTATGGCCTTGCCCATCAGCTTCTAGGAGTCAGTCAGGGTCAATATATGTATGACATAGAACTGTCATACTATTCTTACAATTCTTACCAAGTTTGATCTTTTACCAATAGAAATATACAAATATGCTAAAAAATGTCATTTTCCGATAAAACTTTAGTAAATCTTACCCCCTCTCCTTTGGGAAATGTGAGACCCTCAGGTCATGAAATTTACAAGTTTGGTAAAGCATCTTAAGACCCTTATAACTATGAAGAGTATTTGATTCTACAAATTTGGGTGGTGAGAAGAAGAATTTTGAAAATTTTAATCAACCTTTTTTAGCCCTGCCCCTCAAGCCCCTGGGGATGGGACCATATAGTTCACAATTTGGTTACCTTTGGCCACGGAAAGTTTCGGCCAAGTTTCATTGAAATCAGTTCTGGGGTTTTCCAGAAGTCAAAAACGTAAAAAGTTTACAGATGCACAACGTACTGGACAACAACCCCTGGATGCCAGTCGATGCCAGACAAAATGGTATCACAACTGTTCAACATTCAGCCTCAGGTGACATAAACATTTGTTCATCACTCTATGATATCTTGAATTAATTTTTCAATCTTATATAACTTACCTGTATTCTTTAATTTCAGTACACTTTTTACTAATGCCTGAAAATGAATATAAAATACAATTTTTAGTTATTTTTTCTCTCTATAACTTTCATAAAATATTACTTTTACACAGTTCAATATTTCAATATATGATAAAAAGTCCATAAATCAGACACTGGTATTTAATGTTCCCGTCAAAACAACCAACCTCCGAATACTGATTTCTAAAATATATAAATTTACCATTTCATTTTCAATGCATTGTGTCATAATTTCAAACTAACAGTTGTATCAGATTATGGAGAGAGTTTTTGTCTGTTTAAATTTTATCAGGCCAGTGACCGATGTTATATAGTACAGTTTCACTGAGATACGAATGCTGAAAATACTTACTGTTATTGGTAGACATGATAATGCCAACACAAACACAATGTTAAAATTGAGGAATCCATTCAGTAAGTAGTATGAAAATGGTTCTACTCCTGAAAAATAGTAATTCAAAATATTTTTATTCAAATTCACAAAAAAAGTATATTATAGAGACCAGTGGGGTATATACATGTATGTAGGTACTACAAAATGAACTTTTCACCCTTTGTGATTGGTTGGAACGTTGTCAAATGATTTCCAAAAGAAGCAACACCATGCAAAATTAAATGCTAGAAAAGTTTCTTGGCTGTCTTTTGAAATGAAAAAGATAGGTTTCAACAAGACTAATGCTGCAAGAATTTCTAAACTGCATTAACATCACAGTATAAAACAAGAAATGGGTGGGCTTATTACCAGAAATTGCCTGATAAATATTGATAATTTCCAATTTTCTCCAAGAAATGATGCTGAACGAAATACACCGTTATTCATCACCGTCGAGGTAAAGAAAAGCTAGTACTGACTCACCATACAGGTCTGGTCCGTGACTGGTAAACACATTATACATCACAATATTCAGTGGTGCTATCACTAACTTCTGGTAATACTCGTAGTCAATCTTCATCATTGGTAGCTGTTAAAAAAAAATCAAACATTTTCTTACTTAAACAATTAAGAGAGCTGCTAGGCTGAACAATATTCCCTAGTCCCAAGAATTATTCAGCATTCATTGCATTGAAAAAAAATGCAAAGATGGAAATGGTAATCAAAAGTCAAAATGTCAAGATGGAAAACAGTGTCTTTCATAAAGCAAGTTTTAAAGGATTGGTTGAAAAAAAAAAGGAAAAACAAGATAACAAAAGCCGTAAAGAACAAAATGCCACTATAACTTTAGAATTGAAACACTGTTATGAGATTACAATCTCATGCAGTCGTTTTTAAGTCTACCAAGTTTCAAAAATATTGAGGGAGGACAGATCTTGACATGATAAAAATCTTGAAAAAAAATAATTCAAAGGGCATTAACTCTTCTTAAAAATGTAAAATCCTAATATCATTCAGGAAAACATAATTTCATGCAAATCCTGCTATTTTTCAGAGAAACTGTTGAAACTGTTGTTCAGAAAACACAACTTCATGTCACTGTGATTAAGTCTACTAAGTTTGGTATAAAATGAAAATTGTGGGAAGATAACGCCAGACAAAAAAGTTTAAAATGGACTAACAGAGAACGCTATAACAGAACACCAAAAGTTTTAATTAAGCTTGTGACTTTCAATCTGTACTTTGATCACAGTCAATTTTACCATACTTCAAAAATACCTTGTCACACAAGGTTCCACAATTAAACCCTTTACACCTTTCCACACAGGAACAGTGATGAGTACAAACCATTATGTTGATTTCATCAGATGCAAAATTTAGTATTTAATTTGGTATCTAAACAGGTGTATCTGATTAATGTCATGTTAACATTTATCCAGTGAAGAGCAGGAACTAGAATAATATGATGTTATTGAATAGGAACAGCTCCCCAGCTACTGTTACTTGGACTTGGACTTAGTCAGGCAATCTTATAGTTAAACAAGGGCTGTCAGAGACAAGTTATGCTCTCAGAATGGGACAAATTAAAGTATGAAAAAAAAAGTATAAAGAGAGTTATGACCATAGTAAACTATACATCGGTACAGACCCATAGTAAACTGTACAGACCCATAGTAAACTATACATCTGTACAGACCCATAGTAAACTATACATCAGTACAGACCCATAGTAAACTATACATCTGTACAGACCCATAGTAAACTATACATCTGTACAGACCCATAGTAAACTATACATCAGTACAGACCCATAGTAAACTATACATCAGTACAGACCCATAGTAAACTATACATCAGTACAGACCCATAGTAAACTATACATCTGTACAGACCCATAGTAAACTATACATCAGTACAGACCCATAGTAAACTATACATCAGTACAGACCCATAGTAAACTATATATCTGTACAGACCCATAGTAAACTGTACAGACCCATAGTAAACTATACATCAGTACAGACCCATAGTAAACTATACATCAGTACAGACCCATAGTAATTATACATCAGTACAGACCAATAGTAAACTATACATCAGTACGGACCCATAGTAAACTATACATCTGTACAGACCCATAGTAAACTATACATCTTTACAGACCCATAGTAAACTATACATCTGTACAGACCCATAGTAAACTATACATCAGTACAGACCCATAGTAAAATGTACAGACCCATAGTAAACTATACATCAGTACAGACCCATAGTAAACTATACATTTGTACAGACCCATAGTAAACTATACATACGTACAGACCCATAGTAAACTATACATCAGTACAGACCCATAGTAAAATATACATCAGTACAGACCCATAGTAAACTATACAATTGTACAGACCCATAGTAAACTATACATACGTACAGACCCATAGTAAACTATACATCAGTACAGACCCATAGTAAACTATACATCAGTACAGACCCATAGTAAACTATACATCTGTACAGACCCATAGTAAACTATACATCTGTACAGACCCATAGTAAACTATACATCAGTACAGACCCATAGTAAACTATACATCAGTACAGACCCATAGTAAACTATACATCAGTACAGACCCATAGTAAACTGTACAGACCCATAGTAAACTATACATCAGTACAGACCCATAGTAAACTATACATCGGTACAGACCCATAGTAAACTATACATCAGTACAGACCCATAGTAAACTGTACAGACCCATAGTAAACTATACATCAGTACAGACCCATAGTAAACTATACATCAGTACAGACCCATAGTAAACTATACGTAAGTACAGACCCAAAGTAAACTATACATAAGTACAGACCCAGACCCATAGTAAACTATACATAAGTACAGACAGACAATGTTCTACAGAAAACTTGACATTTGTCAGGATGAAGTTGTGTACTTACTAAAAATATGGCCAGGGAAACAAGGCTCCACATCAGGAATTCTTTCAGCTTGTGTTTCCTTAGTAGTAAGTCTATGGCAATAGGAAGCCTGGAAAGGAAATATAGAGAACTACAATATTATATCTCAACACCTACAATATTATATCTCAAAACCTACAGTATTATATCTCAACACCTACAGTATTATATCTCAACACCTACAATATTATATCTCAACACCTACAGTATTATATCTCAACACCTACAGTATTATATCTCAACACCTACAATATTATATCTCAACACCTACAGTATTATATCTCAACAACTACAATATTATATCTCAACACCTACGGTATTATATCTCAACACCAACAATATTATATCTCAAAACCTACAGTATTATATATCTCAACACCTACAGTATTATATCTCAACACCTACAGTATTATATCTCAACACCTACAGTATTATATCTCAACACCTACAGTATTATATCTCAACACCTACAATATTATATCTCAACACCTACAGTATTATATCTCAACAACTACAATATTATATCTCAACACCTACGGTATTATATCTCAACACCAACAATATTATATCTCAAAACCTACAGTATTATATATCTCAACACCTACAGTATTATATCTCAACACCTACAGTATTATATCTCAACACCTACAGTATTATATCTCAACACCTACAGTATTATATCTCAACACCTTCAATATTATATCTCAACACCTACAGTATTATATCTCAACACCTTCAATATTATATCTCAACACCTACGGTATTATATCTCAACACCTACAGTATTATATCTCAACACCAACAATATTATATCTCAAAACCTACAGTATTATATATCTCAACACCTACAGTATTATATCTCAACACCTACAGTATTATATCTCAACACCTACAGTATTATATCTCAACACCTTCAATATCTCAACACCTACAGTATTATATCCCAACACCTACAGTATTATATCTCAACACCTACAATATTATATCTCAACACCTACAGTATTATATCTCAACACCTACAGTATCTCAACACCTACAGTATTATATCTCAACACCTACAGTATTATATCTCAACACCTACAGTATTATATCTCAACACCTACAGTATTATATCTCAACACCTTCAATATCTCAACACCTACAGTATTATATCCCAACACCTACAGTATTATATCTCAACACCTACAATATTATATCTCAACACCTACAGTATTATATCTCAACACCTACAGTATGATATCTCAACACCTACAATATCTCAACACCTACAGTATTATATCTCAACACCTACAGTATTATATCTCAACACCTACAGTATTATATCTCAACACCAACAGTATTATATCTCAACACCTACAATATTATATCTCAACACCTACAGTATTATATCTCAACACCTACAGTATTATATCTCAACACCTACAGTATTATATCTCAACACCTACAGTATTATATCTCAACACCTACAGTATTATATCTCAACACCTTCAATATTATATCTCAACACCTACGGTATTATATCTCAACACCTACAGTATTATATCTCAACACCAACAATATTATATCTCAAAACCTACAGTATTATATATCTCAACACCTACAGTATTATATCTAAACACCTACAGTATTATATCTCAACACCTACAGTATTATATCTCAACACCTTCAATATCTCAACTCTACAGTATTATATCCCAACACCTACAGTATTATATCTCAACACCTACAGTATTATATCATCTCAACACCTACAGTATTATATCTCAACACCTTCAATATTATATCTCAACACCTACGGTATTATATCTCAACACCTACAGTATTATATCTCAACACCAACAATATTATATCTCAAAACCTAAAGTATTATATATCTCAACACCTACAGTATTATATCTCAACACCTACAGTATTATATCTCAACACCTTCAATATCTCAACACCTACAGTATTATATCCCAACACCTACAGTATTATATCTCAACACCTACAATATTATATCTCAACACCTACAGTATTATATCTCAACACCTACAGTATCTCAACACCTACAGTATTATATCTCAACACCTACAGTATTATATCTCAACACCTACAGTATTATATCTCAACACCTACAGTATTATATCTCAACACCTTCAATATCTCAACACCTACAGTATTATATCCCAACACCTACAGTATTATATCTCAACACCTACAATATTATATCTCAACACCTACAGTATTATATCTCAACACCTACAGTATCTCAACACCTACAGTATTATATCTCAACACCTACAGTATTATATCTCAACACCTACAGTATTATATCTCAACACCAACAGTATTATATCTCAACACCTACAATATTATATCTCAACACCTACAGTATTATATCTCAACACCTACAGTATTATATCTCAACACCTACAGTATTATATCTCAACACCTACAGTATTATATCTCAACACCTACAGTATTATATCTCAACACCTTCAATATTATATCTCAACACCTACGGTATTATATCTCAACACCTACAGTATTATATCTCAACACCAACAATATTATATCTCAAAACCTACAGTATTATATATCTCAATACCTACAGTATTATATCTCAACACCTACAGTATTATATCTCAACACCTACAGTATTATATCTCAACACCTTCAATATCTCAACTCTACAGTATTATATCCCAACACCTACAGTATTATATCTCAACACCTACAGTATTATATCTCAACACCTACAGTATTATATCTCAACACCTACAGTATTATATCTCAACACCTACAGTATCTCAACACCTACAGTATTATATCTCAACACCTACAGTATTATATCTCAACACCTTCAATATTATATCTCAACACCTACGGTATTATATCTCAACACCTACAGTATTATATCTCAACACCAACAATATTATACCTCAAAACCTACAGTATTATATATCTCAAAACCTACAATATTATATCTCAACACCTACAGTATTATATCTCAACACCTACAGTATTATATCTCAACACCTACAGTATTATATCTCAACACCTACAGTATTATATCTCAACACCTACAGTATTATATCTCAACACCTACAGTATTATATCTCAACACCTACAGTATCTCAACACCTACAGTATTATATCTCAACACCTACAGTATTATATCTCAACACCTTCAATATCTCAACACCAACAATATTATATCCCAACACCTACAGTATTATATCTCAACACCTACAATATTATATCTCAACACCTACAGTATTATATCTCAACACCTACAGTATCTCAACACCTACAGTATTATATCTCAACACCTACAGTATTATATCTCAACACCTACAGTATTATATCTCAACACCAACAGTATTATATCTCAACACCTACAATATCATATCTCAACACCTACAGTATTATATCTCAACACCTACAGTATACAACACCTACAATATACAACCTGCAGAGTATTAAACATCATACTTACCCTAGAATTCCAGCAAATGGCCAGCCTAAAATGGCGCTGGCTGCTGTCCCCAAGATGGCCACCTATAACATGAAAATAACATACATATCAAAGAAATAAATGGATTCTTTTTGTTCAAACAATACATGGAAAAACCTTTACACCACACTTCAGACTAACTATGATCTGTATCATTAATTTTCCACAAGTCACAATCAATAAATATAAATAGGTATTCAGGTCAAATCCATAGACAGTATAAAAGTTATTTGGGTGTCATCAATTTCTGTGATTTTTTTGTTCTAGACTATTTTGCAGTTATGTATTTTCACAAATCTTTGATAAACTGTTATTAACTTAATAATTTTTCAGCAATTCAATCTTTTTACTGTTCTGATATGAAAGTGTTACAAAGGTTAAGCGTTAACAAAAAAAACTGGAGGTTTACATTTTTACACTGGTAAATTCTTGTCACTATTTTCACATCAATGCATCTTTGATTCATTGCTACATGATTCCTACATGAATGCAATTAGGGAAGTTGCATTCATAGATTTATGAATGCAAATAAGATCAGGCTATGTTCTTTCTGGGAAACTCAAGATTTATTCTAGTGACTGATTAACAGTAGCCCATCTTTAACCATATATTAAAAGGACATTCTTAGGTTGTGTTATCTGTAAAATGAAAAAACCTACACTGTACTGCCGCAGGAACCATCCTCCCATCGACACAAATGTCAGGTACATACAGAAACTGCTTGGGAGAAAGGCCGAACTAGAAATGAACATCCCCGTACTGAGCAAAAGCAGGAAGAGAACGATCCGCCCAGTGTTTGCTCCAAAGTGTTTAGACACTCCCCTGTAAAACAACAATATTCGGGAAGCATTGTAAACAATTGTTTCTTGTCTGTAATGCATCTTTTACAGTGTTTGAGATCACACAAAAGTTGACAAATAGTTGTATCAAAATCTATTATTTATGTATGTAGTAGAAAATTACACAGAGACGGAGGTTAGATATGCTGACAAACGGTATATGGCCCACATACAACTATTGAATTTCAGTGGCTTTCATATTCTCTATGAAGGCCATGGCTGGACTATCATTGTTATGATATCAGATACAACAGAGAATACTTACACTAACTTTAAGGTCAAAATAACAGCAGAACTTTGATCAGTTAGTATGACTTTGATCAGTTAGTATGACTTTGATCAGTTAGTATGATCAGTTAGTATGACTTTGATCAGTTAGTATGACTTTGATCAGTTAGTATGATAAGTTAGTATGACTTTGATCAGTTAGTATGACTTTGATCAGTTAGTATGAGATTAAATATCAAAACCAGAATTATACTGTCGATGTACTTAATTTGTTGCAATCAAATTTCAGCGCAAGATAGGTGCTAAAAGGGAAATTTTATGAGCAATAGATCTGAAAGCTGGAAACGTAAAATCACAGTTTTCCTTTCCCTTTTTTTAGCAAAACTCACAAAATCTTTTCTTTCATTTATTCTTTGGACGACAACAATGCATCATATTCCAGCTTTGATTGGAAAAGCACTTGTCCTTTTAGAGAAAGTAAACGCAATTCAAAACTTTTAAGTCCAGCTTCGTCCCATCATTGCTAGCTTTGAATGTTGCTGGAATTATCTGGAAAACATTTTGTAAAAGATGGATGCATTTGTGTGTCCATGTGGTCTAACTACTGCTTGGTTAAAGGCCGTAGTCTCGTGTTTTGTGATTGGTTGTTGTACTATTTAATACAAATGACATTTTTAATGAACACAAGTTTTTACCTGTAGAAATAGATTTCACATCCAGCACAGCACAGTGCCAGTAAACATCTAAGTAGATAAAACAAGAGGATCTGTAAAAAATACAAAACAATAACAATGATAAATCTACATGTGAAGTTGAAATGGTGTCATGAAAATAGATTGTAGAATGATCACTGAAAATCGTTTATTAAGAATTAAAGAGAGACAAATGCATTATACTTGTTCAGTGTTTAAAGTCTTATTTTCCTTCAGTAACCATACTTTTTTAAAGACAAAAAGGTTTTATGACTTTCACGGTAGTTTATCACAACAGTCTAGAGACAGATTATTGATTTCGTATTTACAATAGTTAATGGTCTTGCATGTCAATATGCCATAAACAACAAAAAAGCAGAAATTATTTAAATCATAGTTTTCTTTCCATGAAAAAGATTTTTTTTTGTCAAACTGATATTTGATCAGTTAATGTGCTAAAAGCTGTTTTTTCCATGTAATCTTCAGCAGATACCTTGTTAGCTTGGAAAAGGCTGTTGTACATTTTTATGGGAAGGGCATGGATCCACAAATAGGCATAGGACCTGATGGCATACATAGGGGAGTACTCCCAGGTCTGAAACCCAGACCCATAGATCAGGAAATGTACCTGTAAAATACAACAAGGGCAGATAACTCCAAGGTCTAAAACTGTAACCTGTAGATCAGGAAATATAAAAAGGGGAGACAACTCCCATGTCTGAACCCTGTACAGCTCTCACTTAAACAATAATGTATATCATTATTTTGGTAAAAATTAAGATACTTTTGACAAAAATTGTTTTCTTCAGCAAGAATTCATTAAGATGACTTCCAACTCCCAGATTCAAAAACTCCCATTTCCCATTTGATATTGGCTTGTTTTGGAGTTTCCTTGGCATATATAAAGACACAGTATATACTGGCTTGTTTTGGAGATTCCTTGGTATATATCCAGACACAGTATATACTGGCTGGTTGTGGTGATTTCTGGGAAGATAAATCAGTCCAATAAATTGTGGCCTCTTTTTGTGATTTTTTTTATCAATCTGACTGATTTTCAGTTAATCTTGTTTATTTTCCTTAAGGTTGACTTACAGGTTCCCAGTAGTTGAAGGTTTCATCGCAGTCACCTACAATATTCCACACTGCTGCACACAGTCGTGCTGACAGGACAATCTTGAAGGCTGTGTATGCTGAGGGGGTCCATGGCTGGTGGTCTTGGGGACTCCCACCACTAGCAGGCACCTGTACACTGCTTCTGAAAAATTCTTTCAATTTAGTTTTTTGGCATGAGTTTATAAATATTTGTAGATTAAGATCTTGCGTGATTACAGTTGCATCTTAATGAAAACTCTGTTTACCATTGTTATTTGTGTTAGACACAATCTTTCACTTCATAATCCATATGAAAATACAGGGGTCCTTTGAATTCATTTCACCTGCACATGGACGAGAGATATAACACACACATCATTCTCAGTGATACACCTGAAAAACTTTTAGGTGTACATCTGTATTATTGTTTGTCATGGAAAAGTCATGTTGATAAAGCAGTTTCTAAAATTAGAAAATGCTTAGGTTTGTTAAGGTGTATACCTTCCTATCTTCCCATTCAAGGTAGAATAAAGCTTTACAACTCATGTATTTTTCCCCATTTTATTTATTGCTGTACTGTATGGTCTGGATGTGATGCACATCATATGGGTAGATTATATAGAGCCCAGAAACAGGCAGCAAGAGTTATACTTGATGTGTCATATGATACACCTTCCTCTGATATGTTTTCTGTTTTAAAATGGCTTCCAATCGAAAAATGTTTTAAATTCAAGAGAATATGTATGTTTTACAAATGTATTCATGGATTGGTGCCAGATTACTTAAGCCACAATATCAAACTTGCTTACGATGAACACAGAAGATGTACCAGGTTCTTTGTGGCAAATAATGTTACTGTTCCTAAGCACAGAACTACATTTTACTCAAAACAATTTTTATATCTGGTGCTCAGGACTGGAATAGTCTACCCAGTCTGTTAAAAGACATTCAAAATTTCAATTCTTTTAGAGGCCAACTAATTCATTACTTTTGGAAATTTTAACTGTTCTTTTTAATATCCTGGTAATTTTTACTTTTTGTTATGTTAGCATATATGAATATATGGCTTAAAGCCATTTAATTGACAAATCAAATTAGCACAAATATGTGTTTGTTCTATCTGTGATAATCTTAATTAATACTGACTGTGATGTTATAATGTTTTTCACTATCATAATTTTGTATGTATTTTAGTATATGATTGTGATATCATGTTTTACTAATGAATGCAATATTTTACTAACTTGAGGACTATAGAGAACTTCTCTCTAGCTCAATCAGTTGAGCGTCAGACTAGTAAGCCAGAGGTCCCGGGTTTGAATGCTAAACAATGATCCCTGTTACATATAAATCAAGAAAAATCACAATTGACACAGTGAAACAAACTCTTCTATTCACTGCATTAGCCAGAAAGTTTCCCTCCCGCCCTATTCTGTTTCATTTTAAACCTGTGAAACAAACTCCTCTAATCATAGCATTAGTCCCAGGGTTTCTTCTCCATCCCTGTAATAATCTGTTCCATTTTACACCTGTTAAAAGTATGTGGCACTGGTGTAGTGTGTTTTAAACTCTTATTTTACATTAAAAGTAATACCTTGATTATCAAGAAATGCATACTAACTTGGACAAGAGGCCCATAGGCCTTAAAGATCACCTGAGGTCTTCAGGTCTTTGGACAGTTTTAGAACCTGTCCATCAGTCACAGCATTCGGGCAGACCGAACAGAACCGATATATGCATACTTACAAAGTTACTGTTTCTAAGTTTGAAGGCTTTATTTTCAGTTAAACACAACTGATAACACTGTCTGTTATTGTAGTTTAGAATATTTGACCCCTGTGACCTTGACTGAAGTTCAAGATAATTCATTTGAACAAACATGGTAGCCCTTCATCCCAGCATGCTACTCACATAATGTGATGACCCCATACCTTTTGGTTATTGAGAAGAAGTCATTTAAGATATGAACACATCTGACACCACCTTGAAAATGGGTCAAGGTCAATACTTTAGGCAACAATTCTAGCACTTCATCCCAGGAGGCTACAGTCCTAATATCAGCATTCTGTGCCTTTTGTTTATTGAGAAAAAGTCATTTATATATCTTAATATATTTAACACCTGTAACTTTGAAAATGTCAAGGTCAACCCATCATGCTACATGCCCAATATCAGCACTCTAGGCCTTTTGGTTATTGAAAAGAAGCTGTTTAAATATTTTGTATTCTTTTAGTTTGCAACAAATACTGGTATGTGTGAGGGATACTGGACGGTAATTTTATGGACTGTAACTCAAGCCTTTCTTATACACATGCAGGAGCAATATCTGCAGTCTTTTAGTCAGATGGAATGTGACTGGTATCAAGCAATCGTTGGAAGATCACACAAAAAAATTGATGATATTTCTGTAGCTAACTCTCTGAGGACTTAAGGCTCCATGCAGCTTTGTTGGTATCTAGTTTGAGAAGCTTTTCAATTCCCTTCATTGTTATGTGGAAATAAGGAATTTCAGGGTATTAACCATCAACTGGAGAAATCTTGGTTGAATGTGTGCATACTGATTTTGTCATTAGTTGAGAACACTGACTGGCATTGCCTGGTTAGTATGTTTGCTTTATCCAAAGATTTAGCAAAGAGTTGGCTATCTTGTTTAAGGGAACTCACTCCATTGTTTACATTTCTTTTTGTGCTTTATGTATTTCTATATACTATATAATAAAGGATTATCTGTGTATATATTTCTTTGATAGGTTGAATGCCAGTCTTTTTGATTTCTTAAAAATATGGTATATTTTTATAATAATTTTTTTTTATTTCAAAGGTAACCCAGGGTTTACAGTTTTTCTTTTTGGTCATGTTAAAGGGGATGTGTAGAGACCCTCAACAGTTATAATTTTATTTGTCAAAATTTCCTGATAGAAGGATAACCACCCGTTTTCAGAGATTTCCAGTTTGGTTTTTTGTATAAATGTACTTTACTGGTTTTGGGTTTTTTTGTGATTTTACATGGGACATGACGAAGTTCATGATCTGATATGCCCAGGAGATAGGCTCTACTCCATGCTTTTGATTGGGCAGTTGGTAATGATTAGGTCAAGTGTGTTATCACTGCAGGTGGGTAAAGTCACAAGCTGGGTAAATCCAACATCATCAAGGAGGCTACCCAAGATATAATTAAGTTTCAGACAGGCTATATTTGGTTTTAAACCTCTTTTCTCCCAGTCTCATGCGTGGAGATTAAAAACTCCACCTGTGATGGCAGTGGATTTTTTCAAAAATCTGTTTTGTAAACAGATAAAAAGTGTCTTATTATCAACAATGTCTAATTTAGCCTAAATTTTTTCACAAACCTCTGGTGGGTTAAACTCCTTAACTGAATCCCATAAATGGGATATGTTGATATTTTTTACAATGAAGAAATTCTGATCTGTTTGTCCATGTTATTGTGATTTATTAATGAAAATCAGTCACAAAACATATATTGATGCTCATATAAGGAGTCGCTTGACAAGAAGTCAATTCGTCCATTAAAACTACGATACAGAATAAAAGGGCCGAGTTGACAAAAAATCAATTTAAACAATATGGCTTAAATATTTCGTTTACGCGAATAAACATTAACATTTCCGGTTTAGTTAGTGTCGATACATAAATTTACATCTCAGAATATGATATGATTTAAAAATAGTTACCTGGATGAACCGGGAGCAGCCTTATCTGTTTTCGAGTTCTTTCTCCTCTGTTTTGTAGAGGCTGACATCTTGCCGCTCCGCACTAAAACACAGATAAGTGCGGGATGATATTTGGGTAACATCACGAACTAAATAAAGTTAAACTAATCTTATGTTTACTTTACAGAGTAGATTTATTTTAATTGAATTATTTCCTTAATTTATGTTTTTCAAGATAATAAAATGATCGTTGACCCTAAATGACCCCAAACTCAACAACATGGAGACCTTGACGAAGATGTCGAGATGCCTCCTGCGACAAACCGCAATTTATCGACAATGTCGTTGGTTTTTACAGAAATCATCATACAGTGTTGTGGCAGGGAGTGCGGGACACACCCTGAGTGTGAGGAAAAAGGTTGACGATCTCAGGGAGAAGGCGTTACAGGGAGGCGGCGCCAAGAGGATCGAGAAGCAACATGAAAAGGTAGGTTACTTGAAGCTGACGAATCCTGCACATCTCGGCACCTACTTGATGCTAAAATTTCTAACTATTATTTATATCAAATTAGAATCTAAATATGTATACACACATGGATTTATTCGTCAGCTTGGGAACATGATGACACTCTTATGCTGCGAAGGCCAACAGTCCACATGCCCGTTAATCCGAACATCCCAGGGTAGATTTCAACCATAGGTCTGAAAGATCATTGCATTTATATAATCATTTATTAAATTCAGAACGGTGCTTTGACCCATAGGGACCTCTGGGCAGGGGCCAAATGGGGAATTATAGTCAATATTTTGCTTAAAAAATCTACTCCTTCTTAATGCCTGGGTTGATTTCAACCATATTTGGTCTGGAAGATCATTGCATTTGGGAAATCATTTCTTAAATTCAGAAAATTGATTGGCCCCTAGGAACGGAGCCTGGGATGGAAAGTAAGTCAATAATGTGCTGCAAAACACAACACTCCCTTAATGATTGAATGGATTCATTCAACATTTGTCTGAAACAATATTAGTGGTGAACAATTATTTCTTAAATTCAGAAAGTCGATTTGACCCTTAGGGACTTTGGGGCGAGGCCTCAGAAGGGAAGACCCGAAATTAGGTAATATTTTAAAAACATCAAACGAAACCGGTAGACAATATAATGAATTATCATCTCGGAACCCTTAGCTTGTTGTGATTGCTTCTTAATTCTTAGATAATATTTTGTTTCAAAACACTTGTCTTTCTTAATTCTGGGGTAGATTTCATCCATATCTGATCTGAAACATTATTAGGGAGTGGCAATGATATTAAATGTGCATGAACTGATCTTGTCCTGACCAGATCATATTTTCAGGTTTGGTCCAGAATCCAACATAACTCATCTTGAACAATTATTCTGAACTTCTAATCCAGTTTCATTCACACCATTAAGAAAACTATTTGGAGTGTAATTTGTTAAGTAAAAGAAACACATAATATATTGTGTTTAGGTCATCTGATCCAAAGGGTCAGGATGACCTTAGCCATCATGTTTTTTCTGTGCGCTGTGCATAAACTTTCCATTCAAATGACTTCTTCTCCATAACCAGAAGGCTCATGGTACAGATATTGGGCCTGTAGAATGATAGGATGAAGGACTACCAAGTTTGTTGATATGAATGACCTTGACCTTCTTTCAAGGCCACATGGGGTCAAATATGTTAAAATCTTTCAACAAGTAATAGATCCTGAGTCATGTTATTTGTGTGGTAGCATATATACAAGTTGACAAAAAATGTTTATACGAACCAACAATGACAATGAATCTAGGTTTCATTTCAAAACTGGAAACACCAGGGTAGAACTGTATTCTACAATTGATGATTGTTAAAAGATCAAGGAAAATAAATGGTATGCCCAATTTAGTGTTTCATTGTGAATTAAGTAAAAAAAAAAACAAAAAGAAAACAAGATACATGTTTGTATAATAAACTACTTTGAATGGTAACTCAGGCATGCTTTAATTAATGTATCAGTAATGTCATTGGCAGAATCATTGTGCTGAAGAAATGTTGTAAATTGTTGTAGGGAAAGCTGACTGCAAGAGAGAGAATACAGCTACTGATGGACCCAAACTCATTCATCGAATATGACATGTTTCTGGAACATAACTGTACAGACTTTGGAATGGAAAAGGAAAAGGTGATTTAGATACACAACAATACATTTGTGTAACATATAAACCCCTCCAAAGAGGAGGATCAACTTAAGTTTACCAATTTTTATTTGTTTCGATGTATCAACCAATTCAATGTGCTTTAATATTACATACATATTTATGAAGTGGAAGTTTTTTAAGAAACTTTCTGAATCCCCGAAATTTGCCAAATGTTGCATATATTGAGGCTTTAAACAAAATGGGAAATTGAATTAAGAAGATAATATAGAACATTTTGAGGTCAAGTTTTTTTTTTATTTAAATTTCATTTGTTGGTATAAACTTTTTATTTCAAAGCATTTCACACATTAAATTGACTGTACATATTGAAGACAAGAATGGGGCCAGCTCCCTTAATAAGAAATATGTTTAAATGAGTGGCCTTTCCATGGCCCTACAGTTATCTGTTAAATGCTAGATCATTGTTCTATGTTTGTTAATGTTGTGTAGCATTTCACATGAAAACAATTAAGATGAATAGGTATTAAGGAATAAGATTACCAGAAAAAAATGAGATATCATGGACTCAATGAAATATGTTTACAGTACCCAGGGGACAGCGTGGTAACAGGACGGGGCACAATCAATGGCAGGACCTGTTTCATCTTCAGTCAGGTATCTCTCTTCTTCTTTTAATATTTCTCAATGTTATGTGACAATAAATGTAATACGCTGTCAAACTCAAACTATCAACTTATTTTTCTATTGGCTTCCACTGTAGACTATCCTCATCATGACATTAACTTTGATGTCAGTGATAATGTCATTTGATGTCAATAAGTGATGATGTTATATGATGTCAATAAGTGATGATGTCATACAATGTCAATAAGTGATGATGTCATATGATGTCAATAGTACCTTAACATATATAAGTGTGATAACTCCAGGTGTTTTCTTATTGATGTCTCTACCTGATTTTGATTATCTTGTATATCTTTTAATTTTCCTAGATTTTAATCTTCAGCTACAAATAAATCTATTTTGTTTCAGGATTTTACAGTTTTCGGAGGTAGCTTGTCCGGAGCTCATGCTAAGAAAATCTGCAAGGTAAGAATACTAGGTCATCTGTATAGTCAGATAATTAGGTCACCTGTATGGCCAGATAATTAGGTCACCTGTATGGTAAGATATTTAGGTCACCTGTATGGCCAGATAATTAGGTCACCTGTATGGTAAGATATTTAGGTCACCTCTATGGTAAGATATTTAGGTCACCTGTATGGTCAGATAATTAGGTTACCGGTATGGTCAGATAATTAGGTCACCTGTATGGAGCCTCCTACTAAAACTAGCACTATGACAGCCAGTTCCACCCTTCTGAGGAGAATACAAGTTGCTCCCTCACGTCACCAGAATACTGACATTGGTCAGTGAGACGATGCCTGGCAACAGGAGCTGTTGCAGACGAAAAACCTGTAAACTAACTAACCAAACAAAGATCAGATAATTAGGTCACCTGTATGGTCAGATAATTAGGTCACCTGTATGGTCAGATAATTAGGTCACCTGTATGGTCAGATAATTAGGTCACCTTTATGTTCAGATAATTAGGTCACCTGTATGGTCAGATAATTAGGTTATGAATAAATAAATCATTAGATGGCCATTTAAGAGTTTTGAAAAGGATGTAATGGTGTATATTTCACATAGCACAAGTAAACATTACATGTAATTGCGAAATAATTTAACTAACACAGTGAAGTTTGGTGTAAAAAAAGGTAAATAATTTTATAGTGGGACTGTCTTGAAGGATAAAAGTATAGTACTAATTGCTGAGTCAGTAGAAAAATTCCAGAGTGGGGCTAGGGCAAAGGAAGAAAGATTCTTTATAGACAGAGGTTTAGCAGGAGAAGGAGATGAGAGATGATGAATGTCTAGATAGTTGATTTGGTGGTGATAAGTGTGATGTAAGGATAGATAACTGTTTGTGGACGATCTTGTACTTTACAATCAGGCAAGAATCACAATCTGCCAAACTATGAGGGCTGATTGATAAGTTGTGAGCCTTGAACTGAAGAAGTTAAGCAGGGATGTCCTTTTTCAGCTCTACTATTCCCTGACTATTTAAAACTGTGTACCAAAAGACTGGTGTCATTTGGTCAGTTTATGTCGAAGAATTAGCATTCTAAAGTAAACAAGGCAAATGACTTTTGAAAAATTTGCATGAGAAAAAACTAGCACAAAAGGACATCCATACTGATATGGTAACAACACTAGGAAATGACACCCATTCATATGCTACTGTGAAAATATGGGTGGCATAATTTCAGCATGGCATGCAGAGCTTTGGGGGATGATGCCCATACTGGAAAGCCTGTTACTGTTACAACCCCAGAAATGCTCAATAAAGTGCATGGTATTACTGTGATTGACAGGAGTAACAAAGAGATATATAGCCAGTACAGCTGTGATTCCTCAGGAAAGTGTGCATTCCATTCTTACAGAAGATCTTGCACTGAGAAAGATCCCAGCCCGTTGGGTACCAAGACTTCTGACAGTTGATCAGAAGCACACCAGGTAGACTTTGTTGTATGTTATTATGAAGGTTTTTGAGGCAGACCCTTCTTACTTTCTGCAGAGGTTTGTGACTATGGATGAAACATGGGTCCATCCTAGGGTTGTAGCTCACAACTTATTAATCAGCCCTTGTACAGATATCTATCTGTTTGTTGACAATCCTATACGTAGTCAGACAAGAATCACAACCCTATGTGCCAATTTACACCACTGTAATTGGTCATGCTGGATATATTTCTGTGGCAGTTAGTTACAAATCTGGAAGTCCAACATTGCATCAACTCTATCTGATCTATGTCGCATTTGAGGTAAGGATCCCATATTGAGCTGTTATATTCAAACTTCAGCATCACCAGGGCATTTTTCTTGATCTTGGTGGTGGTTTATTTTACATAACGCCCCAGGAACTGCAGGGTACTATTGGCACTGAAAGTAATATTCCCCCTCCTCTCCTCTCACCCCACCCCCCTGCCCCTACATCCACCCCCAACCCCCATTCCCAACTTCAAGTCATAGCATGAACAAAGATGGATTATTTAAGCATGTTACAAATTGTTTTTGATTGTTTTAATGAGGTTGTGACTTGTGACTCTAGGTAATGGATCAGGCTATGCTGGTGGGTGCCCCTGTGATTGGCCTTAACGACTCTGGTGGAGCCAGGATACAGGAAGGAGTCGAATCTCTTGCTGGATATGCAGATATTTTCCAAGTAAGAAATCGGCAATATCACACCAGTGTTTAGAAACATGTATTTATTAAAATTTGATTCAAGAATTTTACTTTAGAAGGGCAGATGTTAAAACCATGGTACATTGTATCTCACAAATTTTCAGGTTTGATTTATTTATAAATCAGTTGATCTACTAAAACTTAATTTGATGACATTGTACCAAGTAGTAAATTGTAGAGAAAATTTTATCAGCTGATATCAACTGATATTTTTAATGTCATATCTGCTACAGTAAACTTTGACATAAGGAGCAGGGAGATTGAGTGGTAAAATATGTTGACAGGGAAGTATTGGTATTTTTTTGATATACAAAGTTTGTTTTATTTGCAGAGAAATGTGAATGCCTCCGGAGTGATTCCACAGATATCACTAATCATGGGCCCCTGTGCAGGTAGTTTGTCTGATCATGTCTGCTGCTTGTGATTGACTGTCAATGTTGGTTTAAAAATCATCTTATTACACTATGCTAGTACAGGAGGGGTGTACGGTAGTACAGGAGGGGTGTACGGTAGTACAGGAGGGGTGTACGGTAGTGCAGGAGGGGTGTACGGTAGTGCAGGAGGGGTGTACGGTAGTGCAGGAGGGGTGTATGGTAGTACAGGAGGGGTGTATGGTAGTACAGGAGGGGTGTATGGTAGTACAGGAGGGGTGTATGATAGTACATGAGAGGTGTATGGTAGTACAGGAGGAGTGTATGGTAATACAGGAGGGGTATATGGTAGTACAGGAGGGGTGTATGGTAGTACAGGAGGAGTGTATGGTAATACAGGAGGGGTATATGATAGTACAGGAGAGGTGTATGGTAGTACAGGAGGAGTGTATGGTAATACAGGAGGGGTATATGGTAGTACAGGAGGGGTGTATGGTAGTAATTTTACTTTTGAATGTGTGTTTGTTATTTCTCATGAGACAGCAGATTTTGCTCACACCACATGAACACCCCAGAATTGTAGCTGGGAGTTATATATTATACAGATAGAGAACTTTTATACACATTTTGTGTTTTCTTGTTAACAATCATCAAGTAAACAAAGTGAGATTGTTGTTATTTACTTGTGATAGGTTGTAAACAGATTCAAATTTTCTTTACAGGTGGTGCAGTGTACTCTCCAGCACTTACAGATTTCACATTCATGGTTAAAGTGAGTTATCTCCCTTGTTCTATAAAACTTCCGTATCATTACTTAAAAGAAGTATTTTGTTTTCTTTTAACATAACAAGACATTTGTATTTATGTTGTTTGGAAACAACATTATTATCTTTGATTTTCTTTGGTGCAAAGCAGCTGAAGACAGTGAAACATATTTGAAAGGAGGGGACCTTAGAATAAACTGGTGCTTGCCTTTTTGATGTACAGCACATCAACCCCAAAACCTTAGAAATGTCAGAGCAGAAATGATTTTATAGTTGTAATATCATTATAGATTATTACTGATATTTTGAAATAAAATCTCTTCAGGTTCTTTGGGTCTCCTAAATAGGTGGGGGTGGATTGTTGGAGTCTGAGTGATCCTCGGGACCAGAGTGATCCTCGGGACCAGAGTGATTCTTTGGGCAAGTGTGATTCTTGGGGTCAGGGTGATTCTTTGGGCTATGATGATCCTTGGAATGAAGCATTCTCGGAGCTAGTTTGATTCTTGGGGCCAGTGTGCTCCTTGAGATAATGGGTCAACAATGTATATGAAAGGAGGTCCCTTGGGGTCCAAAAGTCTTCTGCTCCTGATTAAGTTGTGCTAGAATTGAAAAATGTTGCCTGTAAATAGTAAATATCTACTTCAGGTAAGACTATTAGTTATTATTTAAAACTCTAATCCATTGACAGATCAGATGACCATTAGACACATGGTCCTCTTGTTTCCGTTAATCTGTCAATATTCCCCACCTAACATGCTCGCCAGGGATATTGAATCGGGCTTTGCCCATGTGTCTGTCTGATGGGGTTTTCCGGGCTAAAACTTGCCATTCAACTAATCTCTATGAAACTTTATATGTATCAGGTTTGCACTTTTTGTGTACTTTGTTATAGGTGAAAAGTCTTTTTCTTTGTTACCTTGGAAACTTAGTCAGAAATTAAAAAATACTGTTTACAAACTTTTCTGGGTCATATTTGAAAACTGTTCTGACGACTTGCACTCGTTTGATATCAATGAAAGTCACAAAAAATCTGCATAGTATTGTCATTAGATAAATCCATGTCTGTTTGGATGTTCATACCAAGAGCTGGGTTTGGGGATGATATACCATGCTTTGTGGCTCTTGGTTGAATCTAGTACTGAACTCCTGGTGTGTGTGATACAGAAATTCCTGGTGTGTGTGACACAGAAATTCCTGGTGTGTGTGATACACAGAAACTCCTGGTGTGTGTGTGACACAGAAACTCCTGGTGTGTGTGACACAGAAACTCCTGGTGTGTGTGACACAAAAATTCCTGGTGTGTGTGATACAGAAACTGCTGGTGTGTGTAACACAGAAACTCCTGGTGTGTGTGACAGAAACTCCTAGTGTATGTGACACAGAAACTCTTGGTGTGTGTGACACAGAAATTCCTGGTGTGTGTGACACAGAAACTTTTGGTGTGTGTGATACACAAACTCCTGGTGTGTGTGTGTGTGTGAAACTCCTGGTGTGTGTGACACAGAAACTCCTTGTGTGTGTGTGTGACACAAAAAGAAACTGTTGTGTGTCCTGGTGTGTGTGACAGAGAAACTCCTGATGTGTGTGATACAGAAACTCCTGGTGTATGTGACACAAAAGCTCTTGGTGTGTGTGATACGGAAACACCTGGTGTGTGTGATACAGAAACACCTGGGGTGTGTGTGACACAGAAACTCCTGGTGTGTGTGACACAGAAATTCCTGGTGTGTGTGATACAGAAATTCCTGGTGTGTGTGGTGTGTGTGATACAGAAACTGGTGTGTGTGATCCTGTGTGTGTGTGACACAGAAAACTGTGTGTGTGTGGTGTGTGTGACACAGAAATTCCTGGTGTGTGTGACACAGAAACTTTTGGTGTGTGTGATACACAAACTCCTGGTGTGTGTGTGTGTGTGATACAGAAACACCTGGTGTGTGTGACACAGAAATTCCTGGTGTATGTGTGATACAGAAACTCCTGGTGTATGTGACACAAAAGCTCTTGGTGTGTGTGATACGGAAACACCTGGTGTGTGTGATACAGAAACACCTGTGTGTGTGTGTGTGTGACTACAGAAACTCCTGGTGTGTGTGAAACTACTAGTGTGTTTGATACAGAAATTTCTGGTGTGTGTGATACAGAAACTCCTGGTGTGTGTGATACAGAAACACCTGGTGTGTGTGTGTGACACAGAAACTCCTAGTGTGTGTGACACAGAAACTGTTGTGTGTGATACAGACACTCTTCGTGTGTGTGACAGAGAAACTCCTGGTGTGTGTGTGTGATACAGAAACTTCTGGTGTGTGTGACACAGAAACTCCTGGTGTGTGTGATACAGAAACTCCTGGTGTGTGTGACTCAATAACACCTGGTTTGTGTGACACAGAAACCAGTGTGTGTGATACAGAAATTCCTAGTGTGTGTGATACAGAAATTCCTGGTGTATGTGTGATACACAAACTCCTGGTGTGTGTGTGTGTGTGTGTGATAGAGAAACTCCTGGTGTGTGTGTGACACAGAAACTCCTGGTGTGTGTAACAGAAACTCCTGGTGTGTGTGACACAAAAATTCCTGGTGTGTGTGACAAAGAAACTCCTGGTGTGTGTGACACAGAAATTCCTGGTGTGTGTGTGTGTGATACAGAAACACCTGGTGTGTATGATACAGAAACTCCTGGTGTGTGTGATACGGAAACACCTGGTGTGTGTGATACAGAAACACCTGGGGTGTGTGTGACACAGAAACTCCTGGTGTGTGTGACACAGAAATTCCTGGTGTGTGTGACACAGAAACTCCTGGTGTGTGTGACACAGAAACTCCTGGTGTGTGTGATACACAAACTCCTGGTGTGTGTGATACAGAAACTCCTGGTGTGTGTGATACAGAAACACCTTGTGTGTGTGTGTGACACAGAAACTCCTAGTGTGTGTGACACAGAAACTGTTGTGTGTGATACAGACACTCTTCGTGTGTGTGACAGAGAAACTCCTGATGTGTGTGATACAGAAACTCCTGGTGTGTGTGTGTGATACAGAAACTTCTGGTGTGTGTTACACAGAAACTCCTGGTGTGTGTGACTCAATAACACCTGGTTTGTGTGACACAGAAACCGGTGTGTGTGATACAGAAACTCCTAGTGTGTGTGATACAGAAATTCCTGGTGTATGTGTGATACAGAAACTCCTGGTGTATGTGACACAAAAGCTCTTGGTGTGTGTGACACAGAAATGTGACACAGAAATTCCTGGTGTGTGTGATACACAAACTCCTGGTGTGTGTGTGTGTGTGTGATAGAGAAACACCTGGTGTGTGTGATACAGAAACTCCTGGTGTGTGTGATACAGAAACTCTTAGTGTGTGCGATACAGAAACTCCTGGTGTGTGTGACACAGAAACTACTAGTGTGTTTGATACAGAAATTTCTGGTGTGTGTGATACAGAAACTCCTGGTGTGTGTGATACAGAAACACCTGGTGTGTGTGTGTGACACAGAAACTCCTAGTGTGTGTGACACAGAAACTGTTGTGTGTGATACAGACACTCTTCGTGTGTGTGACAGAGAAACTCCTGGTGTGTGTGATAAAGAAAATCCTGGTGTGTGTGACTCAATAACACCTGGTTTGTGTGTGATACAGAAACTCCTAGTGTGTGTGATACAGAAATTCCTGGTGTATGTGTGATACAGAAACTCCTGGTGTATGTGACACAAAAGCTCTTGGTGTGTGTGACACAGAAATTCCTGGTGTGTGTGATACACAAACTCCTGGTGTGTGTGTGTGTGTGTGTGATAGAGAAACACCTGGTGTGTGTGATACAGAAACTCCTGGTGTGTGTGATACAGAAACACCTGGTGTGTGATACAGAAACTCCTGGTGTGTGACCCAGAAACTCTTGGTGTGTGATACAGAAACACCTTGTGTGTGTGACACAGAAACTCTTAGTGTGTGCGATACAGAAACTCCTGGTGTGTGTGACACAGAAACTCCTGGTGTGTGTGACACAGAAACTCTTAGTGTGTGCGATACAGAAACTCCTGGTGTGTGTGACACAGAAACTCCTGGTGTGTGTGACACAGAAACTACTAGTGTGTTTGATACAGAAATTTCTGGTGTGTGTGACACAGAAACTCCTGGTGAGTGTGACACAGAAACTGGTGTGTGTGATACAGAAACTCCTGTTGTGTGTGACACAGAATTTCCTGGTGTGTGTGTGACACAGAAACTCCTGGTGTGTGTGACACAGAAACTCCTGGTGTGTGTGACACAGAAACTGGTGTGTGTGTGACACAGAAACTCCTGGTGTGTGTGACACAGAAACTCCTGGTGTGTGTGACACAGAAACTCCTGGTGAGTGTGACACAGAAACGGGTGTGTGACACAGAAACTCCTAGTTTGTGTGATACAGAATCCTCATGTGTTTACAGCAATATGCATATTTCAGTGGGAAATTATTATCTTAAATTTTGGTTCTCATTAAAAATTTGGGATATTAGACATGTGATTTATAGAAGGTTGTTGTGATATTATGTTCATCTGTTTCAGGACACATCATATCTGTTCATTACCGGTCCAGATGTTGTCAAGGTAGGTGATACTTTAATGTCATAAAAAATCTAAATTCCCACTTAGCTGTCAGTCTGTTTCAGTGTGTTTCAGATGATGCTTAAGAACATGAAGGAATGTGCTAAAACCATAAGAAATTCTCTGCCAATTACTCCTGGTTCTGAAACAAAGGTCTGTTATCTTTCACTACAGAACTATTGGTGTTGGAGTTGAGGCATGAGGTATAATAGGTCAGTCTTTCTGTTAATGATTTTTTCAGGTCCTAATTACACCTCACTGCTGTTAAGTCCTCCCTGATAACCCTGTAGACAGATTGGGTAGTAGGTAAGTGATAGGACAGTCTGTGATTCTTTGAGTCAGGTGTAAATTAGGTCAGACATAAACAAAAGGACCTGGTGTTGCCATTAACACCTGTATAGAAAAACATCAGCCGGCAGCCATTATCTCTTGGGAGATAAAGGAAGGCTGCAGCAGACAAAATACTGAAATAACCATACAGTGTGTGAGGTTCCTTGTTTACCTAAATCTGATTAATGGTCAGTGTTTCATTCTTAATAAGGAGTTATATAAATAAGTCTGTAATAACCCTATTTATACTGCGGTCAGCCCAGAGGGCCATTAAATACAAGTCTGAGATGGGCTATACAATCATAGTGTAACTGATATGTAAGTTAATATAAAACTGTTGATAACTCTGGGAAATTTGTTGTGTAATGACCAATGCCCCTCCCCTCATTTTCAGCACAACAAACGCTTCATTCTGTGAAGGATTCTCATTAAACTTCACACAGTTATAAAGCATGTTCAAATATCAGGATTGTTTGGCCTAGAACAAGGTCACTATTACTATTTTTAGATAAATTGTTAGCTCTAGCAGCTTCATTTGATCTGTACAAGATTCTGATAAAACTGACACACTTACAAAAAGACCATAACATATTATTACATATCGGTGATGAAACTGTATGTCACATTGTCATACTTATAGTAGGGAACATGTATTGCTTTCGCAACACTCAGTATGCTTGTTTTTAATTGACATCTGTCAAGAACGTTCAACGATTTAAGGGCTGTTCCTACTGTCAGCATGTCATCACATGTGTGAAGAAAGTTTTCTCTCGAAGTCCTACAGGGAAAGTTTCAAAGGGAAGCTATTTGTCTAGAGTCAATCAAGTTAACCTACAGTTTTTATCGAAGTGGAGAAGTTGTTTAAAGTCAGTGACCAATTGGTTAAGATAGATATATTTATTAAACACCATGAAATCTCTGTTAGTTCCTTGCTGCATTCAGAATGGCTGATTTTCAGGTGTTTAGGTCAAGGTCATTAGGTAATTTTTGTCCTAAAAACCCAGCCTCTACTTTGTTGCAAGTAGGTAGTACAAATGTTACCTGGTCTGGTATTATGTTCAGACATTGTCTGGTATATATGTACTGACATTGTCTGGTATATATGTACAGACATTGTCTGGTATATATGTACAGACATTGTGTACAGACATTGTCTGGTATGTATGTACAGACATTGTCTGGTATGTATGTACAGACATTGTCTGGTATGTATGTACAGACATTGTCTGGTATATATGTACAGACATTGTCTGGTATGTATGTACAGACATTGTCTGGTATATATGTACAGACATGTCTGGTATGTATGTACAGACATTGTCTGGTATGTGTGTACAGACATTGTCTGGTATAGCTGATATCCTTTGTCAGAGCTGGCTGAAATCTATTACAAGTAGAACAAGATATATGGATGGTGTATATTAGAATTTAATAGATTGTACTGACATGGACATGAAAAGAAATTAAAAGTCCCCTTTTAAAAAAATGTCAGTTTGATATTGATCTGCATTAAAAAAAAAAGAAGTTTGCACTTACTATATACATACATTTCGTATAAATGTCTGTTATGGGAAAAAACTAATTGATTGATTTATTGACTAAGCAGTGGCACAGCTGTTTTCTCTCTTCCAAGATGGTGTGATTTATAATGTTGATACGTGTTTATCTTTTTATAAGCAAATGATTTTAATCAGTTGTTTCATCAAAACTTTTACCAGTCCTTAAGTAGCCAATATATTACCCAACACCTTCCACCATTTCTGTGCGACAGTATGACTATCAAATCTTAAAAGAAGTGAGGTGTATAGGTATAGCTGTGTTCATGACGATGATAAAATGTTTGGACACAAACATCAGTAAAGGAGCTATTAAAATGAACACTAATTGGTAACAGTGCGATTACATACCATCACAAAATTTCATCTTCCAATTCCAATGTGACGTGACTTCTAATTCATTGTCTGTCATACAAAAAATCAATAAAATAAATCTCCTTTATCTCAAGTAAAATTTATCTGAAAAAAATGTTTCTACATTTTATTTATTTTTTTAGAAATCAAAAAAAGAAACCAGGTATTAGTTATTTTGATAACAAGATGGTCTTGTCTGTGCAAGGTTTTAAAAAAATCTGTAGGTCATTTTTACGTGAATTTCAAGCAAATGTTTCTACTATTATGGCAGTCTGTAATCAGATGTAAAAAAAATAGGAAACCCAGGAGGCTGCCATCTTTATCTCTAAAGTTTGAAGGACTGAAAAATAGTTTTTGACTCCTAATCATTCCATCAACTAGTTAAAATTCTAGTGGTTTGCTGGCTGTAGGTGATGGAGGGTGATTGTAGGGACAGACTTGAGAGTATCCATGTAGGGCATCAAAACTGGAGATAAACGCCAACCAGTCTGAGGGTAGTAATGCCAGTCAGTATGGAGATATCAGACACAGGGACAGGGGCTAGAAAATAACAGTCAGTGTGGGGAGAGTTATCAGACACAGGGACAGGGGCTAGAAAATAACAGTCAGTGTGGGCAGAGTTATCAGACACAGGGACAGGGGCTAGAAAATAACAGTCAGTGTGGGCAGAGTTATCAGACACAGGGACAAGGGCTAGAAAATAACAGTCAGTGTGGGCAGAGTTATCAGACACAGGGACAAGGGCTAGAAAATAACAGTCAGTGTGGGGAGAGTATCAGACTAGAGAACACCAAACTGTCTGGGAAGAATTATCACACACAAGGACAGAAATGTATCTGAAAGTGGGCCATACAATACTTCACTGCACTACTTAAGATCTGTGGAACTGACAAGCAAAATAAGAGGACTGTACTTTGTAGGATATTTCTGTGTGAGATTTAAATTAGAGACATAGCAAAGAAGCCATTTTTATCATATAATGTTTATTGGTGATTCATGGGCGGCATATCAAAACGTGTTTTACAGGCATATTGTAGTATATCAAAATACTGGAGTTAGGTATATTACATTCTTCTTTCACCCTGTCTCACTCACCTATCTGGGACAAAAAGGTCGAGAGTCTCGCGTATAATAGTCTGGTAATTTCCTACTAAATGCGTTGCATATTTGAGTATTGTTTCATCACGTTCCTCTGAATAGCATTTCATGTCTGGTTCATAATTGATGATGCACGGTCTGTAATGGTGAATCTTAGCTATGCTTGGATCCACCTCTAAAATTCTCATGTCTTTGTGTATTGTCTTACTAACATGATGGATCCCAAGCTCGAATATTTTCTGGGGGGCAACCATTAGTTTGGTTCTGACGGAGCTGAGGACTTTATTTCTCTGTAAAAGCTGAAGGAATGTAAGCTGCTGGGAAGGATCAGGTACTTGCTTTGGATCAAAGAAAGCACTTTTGAAAGAAAATCCTGCTATATAATCTGAATTGGTTTCCAAATTTTGTAGAGAATTCACCATATCTGACCATGTATAGTTATGTACAGGAAGTAGAAATTCATCCAAGTCCACAAAAAGTAAATATTCAAAGTCAGCCATGTGTCTGTATAGACAGTCCTGAATAGCTAATAGTTGGCCGTGATACCAGATTTCTCGCTCATTAATCTTTGGGGAAAGCTTCCAGTTCACAAGGGTTACCTCCCCTTTTTCTTGATAAAATGTCAACAATTTCTCCACAGCGTCAGATGTGTGATATATATAAAATGTGAGGTGGGATGCCCCTAAAATTTTCGATAATTCTATAAACTGTATTAACAAAGATAAGGAAATGTCACCAAATATTGGCGGAAGACAAAGACCAAACTTGTTTTTATGTGAATTTTCAGGTCGTAAATGGGAATGTGGACTTGATGGAATCATGTTATTGCTTGGCAGTTTTTCAACTGATTCTTTAAACGTAAAAGCAGTTAATTTTAAATTTACACGTTTTTCTGGATGGAAAGTACTAGATATTGATAACATAGTTAATTTTGTAAAAACAGTGTTGTTTAAAATCTCCTCAGGAATTTCACAAGAGAATATCCATCCTCCGTAATATCTCCCGTGATTCTCACACATCTCATAACTGTGTGCGTGTACTTTCAGCCAGGTATTGTGTCCATAATTAAAATGGCATATTAAACTCTCTACACTGTTGAAACGTTTCAGTGCTATTATCCTCATACTTGGTTGCCGTGGCTCGAGTGTTGGCCTGTTATCATAGTAAACAGAAAATATCGAGATATTTCCTACACTTGTCGAACTTTTTGTTAGCAACAACATGCCATCGTCTGAACTTTCCATTAACTTAAGAGTCTGTCGTTCATGTTTGACCCTCCTGTATGGGTGAAGGTCATTCAAAGGTCGTCGGTCCTTTTGGTTGTATACACCGAAATGACTCTCTTGTTTGTAAACAGGTTCCTCTTCTTTGGAACTCTCTGGCAAGATTTCTCGTAGGAAGTTTTGTTTGTTGTTTGTGACCACTACTGCCTTCTGTAAAAGGCCTAATTGTAATCCTAAAACAACACACGCATACAGAATCAGGAGACAGGGCAGAATGAACTTGTAGACAAAGGAGATCCGCATTGTGTTCACGTGACAACATGGGTAGACAACTCAATGTTTCTAGGGTCGGAGTCAATGTCTGGCTTACTCTCAGCATCAGAATTATTATAAAACAAGTTACTTTAGGTAAAGAATTCTGTTTTGTTCAAGTGGTCATTTGACCTCTCAACTTTCACAATGTATTTAGAGAGTACCCTTCCTGAATGCTGCTGATGTTGGCTGTGCTGAGATCATATCACTGTAATATGCAGCGACACCATTTTTATAAGTACTCTCATGTCTTTCCCTCTCTTTTCAAGTTTTATTTTTGGAAAATCAATAACGCAATACTTGACTACTGCAACATTTAAGTAAATTTGATGCCAGATAAATGTGTATTCTGCCAAGTTTCAAGCTAGTTTTAAGTAGATGCCCTTCACTGTAGATAGGATTGTACCAGGTCTGGGTCTCCTCCACCACTACAACACTTAATATACACCTCCTCTTGTACTGGTGATGTCCCTCTGTGTACTAGTCTCCCATCCCTACTGATACCCCTCTCAGGGTAATCAGGGTCCTATCAGCAGACCTCAATCCAACATTAGGTGCTGGCTGCTACATGTTCCATGTGTTTTGTCCAGAATCTTTGACTTTCAATCATTGAGAGTTGATGGCAGATTGCCTCTGAAGACATTTGATGGTGTGTGCTCTCAGATTTAGGTGACTACAGCACTTGTTGGAGATCTCAGCCTTAGACAGCTTTCAGTACTTATACTCTAGTTTATCGGGATGAAAAAAGTACGGACACACCTGTCTTCCTCTGTCACAACCAGAGCACGGGGTACACTGCAACAAACAGAAAAAATACTGATAACAAACATATTTTCTGATATATCTTAATGGTACTTACACTATAAAGAAATATTACACAGAATTTTTATTTAATAGAATTAAATTGTTTTTATGTAAGTGGTTTTTATGATTTGTGTTGTTCAGTGATAGTTTCAATAAGACAAGATTAGAAGTAATTATACATCATTAGAGTAATGAATAGGGAGACTTATACAGAGTAAATATACCAGCTTTTATAGGGGAGACTTATACATAGTAAATATACCAGCTTTTATAGGGGAGACTTATACAGAGTAAATATACCAGCTTTTATAGGGGAGACTTATACATAGTAAATATACCAGCTTTTATAGGGGAGACTTATACATAGGGGAGTAAATATATACCAGCTTTTATAGGGGAGACTTATACATAGTAAATATACCAGCTTTTATAGGGGAGACTTATACATAGTAAATATACCAGCTTTTATAGGGGAGACTTATACATAGTAAATATACCAGCTTTTATAGGGGAGACTTATACATAGTAAATATACCAGCTTTTATAGGGGAGACTTATACATAGTAAATATACCAGCTTTTATAGGGAGACTTATACATAGTAAATATACCAGCTTTTATAGGGGAGACTTATATAGTAAATATAGTAAATATACCAGCTTTTATAGGGGAGACTTATACATAGTAAATATACCAGCTTTTATAGGGGAGACTTATACATAGTAAATATACCAGCTTTTATAGGGGAGACTTATACATAGTAAATATACCAGCTTTTATAGGGGAGACTTATACATAGTAAATATACAAGCTTTTATAGGGGAGACTTATACATAGTAAATATACCAGCTTTTATAGGGGGAGAGCTTTTATACTTATACATAGTAAATATACCAGCTTTTATAGGGGAGACTTATACATAGTAAATATACCAGCTTTTATAGGGGAGACTTATACATAGTAAATATACCAGCTTTTATAGGGGAGACTTATACATAGTAAATATATAAGCTTTTATAGGGGAGACTTATACATAGTAAATATACCAGCTTTTATAGGGGAGACTTATACATAGTAAATATACCAGCTTTTATAGGGGAGACTTATACATAGTAAATATACCAGCTTTTATAGGGGAGACTTATACATAGTAAATATACCAGCTTTTATAGGGGAGACTTATACATAGTAAATATACAAGCTTTTATAGGGAGACTTATACATAGTAAATATACCAGCTTTTATAGGGGAGACTTATACATAGTAAATATACCAGCTTTTATAGGGGAGACTTATACATAGTAAATATATACCAGCTTTTATAGGGGAGACTTATACATAGTAAATATACCAGCTTTTATAGGGGAGAGCTTTTATAGTAAATATATAAGCTTTTATAGGGGAGACATAGTAAATATAGCTTTTATAGGGAGCTAAATATACCAGCTTTTATAGGGAGACTTATACATTGTAAATATACCAGCTTTTATAGGGAGACTTATACATAGTAAATATACCAGCTTTTATAGGGGAGACTTATACATAGTAAATATACCAGCTTTTATAGGGAGACTTATACATAGTAAATATACCAGCTTTTATAGGGGAGACTTATACATAGTAAATATACCAGCTTTTATAGGGGAGACTTATACATAGTAAATATATAAGCTTTTATAGGGAGACTTATACATAGTAAATATACCAGCTTTTATAGGGGAGACTTATACATAGTAAATATACCAGCTTTTATAGGGGAGACTTATACATAGTAAATATATAAGCTTTTATAGGGAGACTTATACATAGTAAATATATAAGCTTTTATAGGGAGACTTATACATAGTAAATATACCAGCTTTTATAGGGGGACTAAATATACATAGACTTATACAATATATACCAGCTTTTATAGGGAGACTTATACATAGTAAATATAAATATACTTATACAGCTTTTATAGGGAGACTTATACATAGTAAATATACCAGCTTTTATAGGGAGACTTATACATGGTAAATATATAAGCTTTTATAGGGAGACTTATACATAGTAAATATACCAGCTTTTATAGGGGAGACTTATACATAGGAAATATATAAGCTTTTATAGGGAGACTTATACATAGTAAATATACCAGCTTTTATAGGGGAGACTTATACATAGGAAATATATAAGCTTTTATAGGGAGACTTATACATAGTAAATATACCAGCTTTTATAGGGAGACTTATACATTGTAAATATACAAGCTTTTATAGGGAGACTTATACAGAGTAAAAATTTATTTTATTTGCACAGAAATGATTGTTAAACTTCATTTTTCATGAAATAAGACTTAGATGTTACCTGATATCATTAAATTACCATAATCATTTTACAGGAAACCAATTGCTCTCAAAGTTCAGTTCTGAATTGAAGTAATCAGGTTTTGGTGGGCTTACTATAAAGGGCAAATATATCAGTACTGATTAGAATTTTTATGGAATAAATATTTTTTATTGTAAAAGGAAGTGAATAGATGTAACATTTTGAAGTTGACACGTGTCACTGTAGCAAATGATATTGATATCAAAACAGCTGTCAACAAAGCATTGTCAAGTGAAATATTGATTTTTATTTACTAGGTGACTGAAGTAACAGATGAAAAACTGTACAAAAGACACTTAAGTGGATGTAAACTGCATCATACAGCTGTTTTTAGCCTCCTAATACTTGTCAGTGATGCTAAGCGCCTACATTTTGAAGCCTAAGAGACAACTGAAAAAAACGAACATAATTAAAAAATAAGTTGAAACCTAGATGGGAAGGTGCACTTAAGGCTTATAAATCAGTAGATATCTTGATTTCTATACATCTGATAATTTTATAACAAAGTCAACTGAACTGTGCCACTTTTCAAATGAATTCAAGCATGGAATTCAGATTACTGCAAACCTCAGGGACTAAAGATACTTTCCAAACTACATAGATATACGTTAAAATGCTAAAAAAATCTCCAAAAATCTTGCACTTGGATACTTAATATTACTTAGATATTTGGAGGCCTGGTGTATTGGGGGTCAGGGGGTCATGACTAATTAAGAAGCAGAAAAAGGGGATGTGATTGGTGGATTCAGGTCTATCAGACACTTGTCAGACTACCAAGAATCTGACCACTAGGTGTGAGTGGTCAGGGTGGTGATAGTGGTCTCTAGGTGATATCAGACACTTGTCAGACTACCAGGAATCTGACCACTAGGTGTGAGTGGTCAGGGGGGTGATAGTGGTCTCTAGGTTATATCAGACACTTGTCAGACTACCAGGAATCTGACCACTAGGTGTGAGTGATCAGGGGGGTGATAGTGGTCTCTAGGTTATATCAGACACTTGTCAGACTACCAGGAATCTGACCACTAGGTGTGAGTGATCAGGGGGGTGATAGTGGTCTCTAGGTGATATCTGTAGACACTTGTCAGACTGAGAAGAATCACACATATCCAAATTGATTGATTGAACCATATTGACATATGCTAACCCTGTATGAAATGAAGTTTCAGATTGAGAACATTGCAAGACAGACAGGTTTAGCTGTCTGTGATCTATAAACTGTCAACGGTGATGATTGTAGTGAGTGTTATCAGTACCACAGACTCCCTCCCTCTGATAAATTGTATCAGGTATCAGCACTTCCCTGATACTGTGGTCTCACACATCAAGCCAAGTACAGCTCTCTTCATGTTTAAATAGTCATTCCTCTAGTTGTAGGAATTCACAATCGTGGATTGAGATTAAGAACAATACATATAAAATCTGCCCCAGGAGTACGATATATAAAGTGTACCTAGGGTGTACAATATATAAAGTGTACCCAGGGTGTACAATACATAAAGTGTACCCAGGGTGTACAATACATAAAGTGTACCCAGGGTGTACAATATATAAAGTGTACCCAGGGTGTACAATACATAAAGTGTACCCAGGGTGTACAATATATAAAGTGTACCCTGGATGTACGATATATAAAGTGTACCCTGGGTGTACGATATATAAAGTGTACCCTGGATGTACAATATATAATGTGTACCCAGGGTGTATGATATATAAAGTGTACCCTGGGTGTACGGTATATAAAGTGTACCCTAGATGTACAATATATAAAGTGTAGCCTGGTTGTACAATATATAAAGTGTACCCAGGGTGTACAATATATAAAGTGTACCCAGGGTGTACAATATATAAAGTGTACCCAGGGTGTACAATATATAAAGTGTACCCAGGGTGTACAATATATAAAGTGTACCCAGGGTGTACAATATATAAAGTGTACCCAGGGTGTACAGTATATAAAGTGTACCCAGGGTGTACAGTATATAAAGTGTACCCAGGGTGTACAATATATAAAGTGTACCCAGGGTGTACAATATATAAAGTGTACCCAGGGTGTACAATATATAAAGTGTACCCAGGGTGTACAATATATAAAGTGTACCCAGGGTGTACAATATATAAAGTGTACCCAGGGTGTACAATATATAAAGTGTACCCAGGGTGTACAATATATAAAGTGTACCCAGGGTGTACAATATATAAAGTGTACCCAGGGTGTACAATATATAAAGTATACCCAGGGTGTACAATATATAAAGTATACCCAGGGTGTACAATATATAAAGTGTACCCAGGGTGTACAATATATAAGTCTACCAAAATAAGTGTGCCTTATATGTGGTACACATAGACAGATGGCTATAAAATGCTTGGAGTTATGTGCTTGTCCTGATATAAGTTATAATTAATTGATAATAACGGAAAGGCCCAGGGTGCTGATGTTTGGTCTGTAGCATAATGGGATCAAGGGCTACGAAGCTTGTTCATATTGTTGACCTTGACCCATCACCAGAGAGGATACATAGTAATTCACTACTGTAAAAATGTTATCTCCATCCATTACACGTCAAAGAGTACAGACAATTTGGATTGCTTAAACAAAAGTACATGTTTGTACTTCAA